TCATCCTCGAATGGACTGTATCCGTCGTCCTCGCCGTCACCCGCGCTCTCTTCCACTTTAAGCGCCCAGGGCGCATCCGTGTCAATGAGCGGGCGGCTTTCGAGGAACGGCAGAAAGTCAGAGCCGTAGTGCAGAAGATGTGACTTGGACACAATCGCGCGCACTAGCGCATTGAGGGCAGCTGCAGCCGCGCCGACAGCGAAGTCGTGCGGATATTGCTCGATCCATGACTCCAGTAGGTGACATATCCTGGCAAATACCCGTTTCAGCGCCAAATAGCTTGATTAGATATGGCTCTTAACATACCTCATCTGCGCAAAGCACGCGAACATCGGGTCACTACTGGGCTGGTCCAACCATCGCATACGCTTCTGCATCGCGAGCACAACACTTCGCGGACTCATGAATCGACGATACGTCAGTAGGAACTCGGCTATAAATGCTGGATCTGGAGTTCCATTGCGCGCGTGAGTACAAACGAGCTTCTCGGACAGGGCCATGCACGCACCATCGCCGCTGACAGCCAGGAAGAGCAGTTTTTCCAGCAGTTCATCGAGCGTCGCCCACGATGCCGCTTTCCTAAACGCGATCCGGCGTCAGACGGTGTTTTGGTCCTTGAATGTCGGCGATCTGACTCACCCTTCTTTCTCGCGCCTAGACGCGCGTTCTTCCGTCGCTTCGTCTACACTGGGTAGACTGTCCGATGGTGCGAGGGCGTCGGGGAGCTGGGGAGCGTCTGATGCCCCAATACTGGCACTGGTGCGAGACGACACGGACATGTCAAGGGTGCTTCTACTCTTGTCTCGGTCAAGTGAGCGACTCTTATCCGAGTCGAGGGAAAGGAGATCGCTTGCAGAGCGGGATCGTGTCGGGGATGTCGGGGCGCCTGGCGAACGCGGGGTCGAGGCGGAACTGCCGGGTGCTGTTTGTGGAGGCGCTGTAAACGGCTGTTGTGCCAAGCGAGAGGGACCGGCTGTGGCGGCTGTTGTGGGCGTGGCGGTGGATGCGCGGGAGATGTCCCATGGGGGCGGGGAAACGAGGACGTCGGGCGAGGCAGGGTTGGTATAGTGTTCTGGGTCGATCATCGCGCGAGCCCCTATTTATTCAGCCGTCACCAAGGGATTGCGCGGAACAGCGGATAGATGGCAACGACGCACGCTGAGTGGATATGGCGCGCAAGAGAAAGTTGAAGCCGAGCCTGAGCTGATCCTTGCCCTTCTCGTCTAGCGCGGAGACCTCGACGAGGCCGACGTCGAGCTTACTTATCCGTGTGTAGACCTGATTGGAGTGCACGGCCCGATCGTTGTCCGACTTGCAGCCAAAGACGATGACGGGGAGTTTCAAGTCTTGGAAACATCCTTGGGAGGAGTATCAATAAAGAGAAAGGACAGTACGTGTTGAACGCGGTCACGCACGGAGCAGGGCCTCGACGTGATCGACCGAGTGCGGGTCAGAGACATCGTAGCAGACAATGGTCGCGTCCAACTGCGGCACGCCCTGTCCCTTGGGCCACCGGAAGTTGCCGGCGTGCTGCCCGTCTTCGAGCACCTTGGCGTCGAGTTCGAGCACGTTCAGAGTCCGATCTGGCGATCCCTCCCGGGGTATGACCCCTTGCCGGAGCGAGTCTGAGTCCACATGTCAGAAATGCACAGAATTCCCAAGTCGCCGACACGAACATGTGAGATGAGGAGCTGCGGGGATCGTGCCAGCCGGGTACTGTGATGGGTTCGCAAGTTTGTATGCCCGCAGGCCCTTGTCGATGACCGTCGACTTGCCGCAGCGGGCGGATCCAACGACGGCCAGGGTGATGTCCGCCCAATCGAACTGTATGAGTATATTCAGAAATTGTGATTATGACCCCTCATGCCAAATAATGCACGCACAGTAGACGAGTCGATTGAGCGGCTGGGTGCTATGTGTTGCGGTGCGTTGTTGCGATGGAGGGTCGAGGGGAGGGGCAGGTTGCCGGGTGCGCCGGTCGAGTGCTGGCGGGAACGTCGCCGGCGCGGTCGCTGGTGCTGTGGCGGGCCTTCGCTGTCCGAGTCCGTCGAGACGGACGGTGCCCTCGTGCGCCCGGCCGGTGAGGACGCCGCCATTTGAGTCGATGGAGGAAGAAAGATACAAGGTCGAGCACGTGAACATCCTCTTCCTCTCAGCTCAACCACCACTTCCCGCACCGTCACCGCCGTCACCTGCCTTCTTCGGTCTTCCCCTTCCCTTACCACGTATCCCTGCGGGGAAGTTCCTATGCCCGCTCGCGGAGTGTATCTAGAAGCAGCTGTATTGCGTCCGCTCTTAGGAAATAACCCGCCATCCCTCCAACTCTAATTAGCCTACGAGCCAGACGCTCTCGGTCTTCAACTGGCTTCCTGATCAGATCAATCGCACCTTTTTCCTACCATGACATGCGCTTTGACATGCTTTGGGGCCATCCTTGTGCCGCGATACTTGTGGGAGCTTGTATAGTCGTATATGTGTCGATAAAGCTCACAAGCTCGGTGCCGAGAACGTAGTGGAATCGACAGCGTGACGCATCCTCACTTCTGTACCGCCCTCACACCTGAGTCTCAACCCTGTCCGCAGAGTGTCTCCTCATAGCGGACGTAGTCTTGAAACCAAAGAAGTCTGCCCACAATCGTATCTGACGTTATGCGCCATTCCCTGGATCTCGACCCGTGACTCTGTGAGGGTGGCTACGATTTTGCATTAGCATCTGCCAGTCGCGTATCCAGCTATGACAGTAGCCCCCGATCCGAACTACTATTTCTCTCCCAGTAGGCTCGCTCTACATCCGTTTGTTTGCTCATGACTGCTGCTTGTCCTGTAAAAGACTACCGGTCTGGATCGCACGCGTAAGTTCTGTCGTCATTTGGGCTAGGTCCCGAGCAAGAACCCGTAGCCCGAAGAGGTTCATATACACTCATTCTTTCTCAATGAGGAGAAGCTCTGAGGGAGAGAGTCCCCAAGTCTCCGGGTGTGACAATCCCCGCCTTTCGTGAAGAACACTCTTTAAACCAGCCACATAAGGCATCTTGGATAAGACGCCGGCGTACGGGACGCACGCGCCAATACATGGTCCGTGGCGAGACGTACTCTATTCCGACTCATCGTACACAATAATTCGTCTCTTGATGGGGAGAACAACGTTCTTCTGCACTACCAGAGACTGAACTAGAGTGCCATCTGTGGTACTCATCATCACCCACCGGGATTCTCCGTGCCTTTGATCCCTTCTGAAGTGCGCTGGCACATAGGTGCATCTCCAACATATATCATGGCTTGCTTCCCAACATACATATATACATAGTTGCTGAGGTATTTCCTCCGACTGACGTCCGACTCAAGTCGCGCACAGCACCTATATTGTCAGTCACGTTACCGCGTCCCGAACAGCATGTTCCGCCGCGATAGGCCGCAACGCGCCCACATCTTGCTTCACCCCACCTTCATCACGTACAAGACTCGGAGGTTCGTCTGAGTAGCGAGCGGTCTTTCCTGCCCATCGTGGACAGGCGCGTAAATCACTATAGCGCGTTGCGGTCGTCTCAGACTCTTTCCGCGGCTCGGACGCTCTTTATCTCATCCTCGTGAGCCATTCGGCCCGTGTGGCGACTGTAGCCTCATCGCGTTTCAATCAACCGGCGCCGTCTCCCTTCCCTCAAAGGCTCTTAAGACCGGCACAACTCATTAGTACCATTTCGTTACCTTGAGGCTTGTGCTGTACGATCGTCGATGTACGTACGGACCGCGTGATATAGGAGCATCAACGGAGGTACTGACATCATCCGTTAGGGAGTTCAGACAAAAGTTGGCAGGCAACTGGATCGCGAACTTGCCCTTGCCCGGCAGCGCGAGCCTTGACCCGGCAGTACGCAGAGTGTCCGTCGCCCCATGCGCCCATCTATCGCCCGAGCTTACTGCATACGCGCGTCCAGATACGCCCGCGAGAGCCTCGTCAACTTTCGCGCCATCTCGCGCATATGCGCTACGCGATCCAAACGACCCCTTACGAACGAGGATCGTGTGCCGCTCGAAGTCGCCCTCGAGCTCTCGGAAATTGGGCAGTTCGCTGAGTTGGCATACACCCCTATACCCATCACATACATCTTGAAGAATCTGGACACCCTCACACGCGAACATTTTCCCTTAGAGGGATACGACGCCCTGAACGACTGCGTGCTTGTAACGCACACCCATGGCGCCGTGGCGGATGTCCAGACTTTTGTCGTCTACCGACCAAAGACGCGGCAAGCGGTCGCATCCTTTTCTGGCACGGCCAACCTCGCGCAGTGCATATACGACCTGAACCTCACTCGGCATCACTATCACAACGGCGTCCTACGTCGCGGTCGCGTGCACCATGGGTTTTGGAAGATGTTCAAGGGGTTGAGGCAGTTCATCATGCGCGCAATAGAGGCTGCTTGCGCGCAGTTTGACGTCGAGGAGCTTGTGCTGACAGGTGCGCTCACTGCGTCATGCACATGATGATACCAGTACTCATGCAGAACCTATAGGTCATTCATTAGGCGGGGCACTCGCTTACCTGTTTGGATTAGAGGTGCTGTCGGCATCATACGAGGTCCCAAAGGGCATCCGGATCAAAGTCATCACGTTCGGCGCGCCTCGGGTCGGCGACGAGGAGCTTGCGAAGTACTGGAACGAGCTAGTAGATGCCTATCGCACATTGTATGGACCTGGTGCACTGATCGACTACTGCGTGAAGGGGCATAGAGACGGTACGTCTGCTCACCTCTGCCGACAGTCCTCAGGTACTGAACGACTGACTAGGCGTGCCTGCTATCCCACCTGTCTCCTTTGGCTACCGGCACTTCTGCCGCGAACCGCTTTTCTCATACGATGGCAAAGTCTACCGCATCCCCGCTTCAGAACGCGAACACGCGCTTTTCGACCTTCCCCGCGCAGAAGACGACGCACCAGCGATGTATCCTCGCGGCGGACACAACTATTACAACGGGCGCTCGCTCGAGAGCGTGTTCCGCCGGCTGCAGTTCCTCGAGAAGATCCTGGACGGAGGGTCAGCTGCGGATGCGTGGGAAGACCGATATCTCCGCCGTGTACACAAGTATGAAGGCGCGGTGCAGGTGCAGCAGCAGCAGCGCAAAGGCGGTCCGAGCGTGATACCGTTGCGCGCGAGGGCAGTCAGTGAACCGCCGGATAGGCCTGGATTGCCGGAGGATGAGGGATCGAGTACGCAGACGTTGGTTGCGGGAGTCACTTTTCCATGTAAGCACTTCCAGCGCCCAAAGAGTATGTGCACTAGACTGATCGTTGCACCCCTGCAGAACCCATATCGAGCATGCTCTGCCGATTTGCTACACTATCGTATTTATTGGCTATGTACTGTACCGGTATCTTGCTGTATCTCTACACCCGATGTACTCGTAGTTGCATGTTGTCTGACATCATAATTAAGCATCACTTCCGTGCTTCGGGTGGGCGAGGGGGTGGCGACGTGCTTGTGGGCGTCAATCCGGGCAGCTCTGGGCATGACCATCGAGAGCGCCATCTCTGTGCTCCGTCAGCTGCTGTTTTGCTCTCAGCCTCCGACTGCCACCACTACCATGCCGGGCAACCGAAGGTGTGTCTTCAGCGATGGACCGCGCGTGCCGGCGGCTGATCTGTGCGAAGACGCGCGACGCATGCCGACTCGTGGTATACCGGCAACGGTGCGTCTATGCTCTCTACACGAATCGGGGAATCGGACTCAGGGAGGAGTGCGCAGGCAAGCGTCTCGATACCGAGCTGACTGGATGGCTGAATGCCGTTGACCCGCGCAAGAGCGAAAGCGAGGACTTTGCGCCGCCGATAAAGGGCTGCAAGGCCATCATCGCACCGTACGTACCCTGATCACTGTTTCACCGGAACCTTGCTGAAGCTCTCGGATAGCCATGCTGGATATGCGTACTCCGGTCCTGCTGCCGCCTATGCGTACAAGTCTATTGATACTGCGGGCATGTGCGTCCACGTCCCACGGGCAGAATATGCGTGTTCTGACTTCTATCCGTATTCAGTAAACGAGTGTTCATCCTCGGACCGTCCCACCACGTCTACCTTGACGGTTGCGCCTTGACTCAATGCACGCAGTACGAGACTCCGCTAGGTGATCTGCCGATCGACACCTCCAGTGCGTCTAGCCTCTAAAGCCCCTATCTTCTTGCTGATCTCCTACCAGCGGTCGACGAACTTCGCAAGACGGGCAAGTTCACAGAGATGGACCTCGGTACAGACGAAGACGAGCACAGCATCGAGATGCACCTTCCCTACGTCCGCAAAATCTTCGAGTCTCAAGACATCAGCGTGATACCCATCCTCGTCGGCGCGATCGACAAGTCCAAGGAAGAGGCCTTCGGACAGCTCCTCGCACCCTACCTCGCAGAGCCAGATACCTTCTTCGTCATCTCGTCCGACTTTTGTCACTGGGGCACGAGGTTCAGTTACACGTTCTACTATCCATCCCCGCCGCCTTCGTCCGAACCGCCCATCAGGCTCGCCAAAGCTGGCCACGCGGGACCAAACGCGGACTACCCCATCCACGCAAGTATCGCAGCGCTCGACCGTGAAGCGATGGAGCACCTATCGTGTCCACCCAGCACACCCGCCGGCGCACACGCGCTCTTCGCGGACTACTTGCAGCGCACGAAGAACACCATCTGCGGACGACACCCGATCGGGGTACTTCTAGGTGCACTCGCGGCACGCGCAGAGACGGATGGGAAGCAGCCGAAGTTGGAGTGGGTGCGGTATGAGCAGAGCAGCAAGTGTATGAATGTGAGGGACTCGAGCGTGAGCTATGCGAGTGCCTACATAGCATACTGAAGTTGTACGATCGAAACGCTGTTCTTGTATGTCTAAGTAGTAGTTGTGGCACTGTATGTCTAGATCCCTTCGTGTATACCATCTTCACCTCTTTGGAGGATCTACATCCGCGCGAGCTGCTCTACGGGGATTTGCAGCCCCGAAGGACCAGGATCCTTGCCCTCGGTTCCGGGTACACCTTTATCATTCACGACCTGCGCCACCACAGTCAACGGACATTCTTCCCCTCTTATGGCAGATGAGAGCCAACACACCTTGCCATCGGCGATCTGAATATCCTCGAACCCCCAATCCCTTTGCAACCCGTCCTTCAGATGCTTCCCGCTCCCCAACGTCACAATCTCAAACGCGCCCACCACGCCGTCCTCCTTGCGCCTGGCATGCGTCAACGACGCGCATCCCGCGCGGAACGGCAGCTCCCTATTTCCACAGAGTGCCCTGGCGAGCCCGATGACGGTCGCGGCGTGGCTCATGAGGAGTATGCGCTCGTGCTTGTTCTCAGGTAGAGTCTTCTCGGCCAGAGGGATAAGAGCGCGGAGCGTATCGGCGGCACGGTCGTGGAAGTCCGGCACGTCTTCGCCGTGGCGGGAGGGAAGGTAAACCGATTGCCAGCCTTCGGGTGATACGTGTGCGCAATGCTGTTGAAGGGAGTGTGCGGATCCGGGGCGTGGGTGCAGGCCTGTGCCGGGCTCAACGGGAGAGTACCACTCGGAGAGACCTATCCAGTGTGAGAACGTGCCACCAGGACGTTGGATGAAAGAGGGGCTTAACCGTGCTCAATGAAGATCGGGATCCCGAGCGCCTCTGCGGTGGGCGCAATGGTTTGAAGACACCGATCTACACGCCAACTTGCTTCAACGACCCGTGCATGGTCTCAACAGACAGATAGAGTGAACACACAGTAAGGCGAGCTCCAGATTGCAGTCGGCCGCTCATCCTCGGGCAGCGACAAGAAATAGTCGGCGACCTCCTTTGCCTGAGTCTGCGACGCATTCTCGCTGAGTCTCATGGGCTGGTGATATCGCGCATACATGTCCGTACCTCGCCAAATGCGGCCAGAGGCGGATCGCGCGGTAGATTCGTCGGGCTCTTCCTGGAAGGCGCAATCGGAATACATCCAAGGTCATCTGCTAAACAAATACATACCAGTCGGTCGTGAGCCAGTTGAGGCGGAAGCCTGTATACAGGCTCGGTCGGTTTGTGCGCTCTACTCGAGTGCTGGCGGCGTACCGTGCCGCATGATGTACACCGTCTTTACAGGCATCGGGTAGAACGGTCGTGGTAGTCGGGAGTAAAGGTTCTTTACATCGTGCTCGCCACGACTTGCTTCCGCCTCGAGGTGCTTGCTCCCTTCTCAGCCAGATCACACACGTTTGAGCGTTTCACAAGCCGCGGCGCCTACATTCTGGTGGTACATACAGGGCATAAGCATAAATGTACGCAAGCAGCATCGGACCATGTACATGTACACCCAACGCCCGTATCAGCAGCAAGAACATCGGACAGTCAGTCAGTCAGAGAAAGGAAAGGGAAAAGAGGAGTCGCGGAGCAGAGGATGATGGAGTACAACACAACGGGAAGGGACAAGCAGGGGTTGAATATGCGTCGATTTCATTTCATCTTCGGTTTGTTTTGGCGGTGATCAGCGCATTGCCTCACGAGAGCGACGGGAAGGCCGTCTGGTCGTCGAACGTCGGGGCCGCCTGGCGCGGTGCCGAGCCGCGTCCACGGCCCTCACCGCGACCGCGACCACCGCGACCCTCGCCGCGCCCACGCCCACGGCCCTCGCCACGGCCGCGGCCACCAAAGCCGCCGCGCTGGGGGCGCTCGAAGCGGGCGTCGATCTCGAGGAAGACCTTGTCGTCCTTCTTGGCCTTGGCCTTGGGGGCGGCCTTCTGCTTGCCGACGAAGAACGCGTCCTCGTCCGACTTCTTGAGCTCCTGGACGCTGCTGGTCCAGTCGTCGGCGCCGTCGTTGGCGGGACGGAGCGCATGCTGCTCGGCTTCGGCGGCGGCGGCCTTCTGGGCGAGGTACTCCTCGTACGAGACCGTGTTGTCCTCCTCCTCGGGCGTGCGCTCGCGGCGACGGCGATCGTCGGCCTTGGCCTCACCGGCCTCGGCGGGTGCAGCGGCGCCCTCGGCAGCCGCAGCGGGGGTCGCCCACGGGTCGGCCTCACCCTCGGCAGCAGCGGCGGGCGCGCCCCAGGCGTCGTCGGCGGCATCTGCGGCACCGCTGACCTCGGCGTTGAGCTCGGCGGCACCTTCGTCGGCGCCCCAGCCCTGGCTGACCTTCTTCTCCGTGTCGCTGGATAAAAAGTCAGATCATCGGCGATCATCGGACGAGATCGAAGAGGGCGCACGTCTTGCCAGTCGCGCTGTGGCGGTCCAGACGCTCGCCACGGGGTCCACCGCGGCCGCGTCCACCGCGCTCACCGCGTCCACGTCCGCCACGGCCGCGTCCGCGACCTTCGCCGTCGACTGCCACATCGATCAGCCGCTTTCTAAATCGAGATCAAAAGAATCGATACGCACACTTGCGCCTGGCGCCATCCTCGGCGGGCTCGTCGGCGGGAGCAGAGTCCCGGGGCCTGCCACCGCCGCGGCTGGGGTACTTGCCGCCGCGGGGGGCGTTGCTCTTCTTGGCCGGAGCAGCGGGCGCGGGTGCCGAGTCCTTCTTGGCCGGCGCGGGGGCAGCCGGCGCCGAGGGCTCGTCTAGATGTGTGGGTCAGATGGGCTGATCGTCGTGATGGACGACGGGGAGGGACGTACCGTCGAGGAGGGCGAAAGGGTTTCTGGAGGCCACCGACATCGTGACGGGGCCTTTTTGATCACGCAGTCAGGTGCGTCTGGGGGGTTATTGGGGCAGGGTTTTGCGGCGGAGGGCTGTCGCTCGGGGGCGTCGAGGGCGATGAGCTCGATGGGGTCGAGAAACAACTCGGAAAGGCCGTCGACTAGTTTTCGTGCGAAACAAGGCCTGCCCGATCACGTGCGCTCACTCCCCGTATTCTGCAGGATAATCGCTCCAGAGGGGAAGAGATGGGGCTTTGGATCGGAATTGCTTAGATTGTGCTATCGTATCACGGACCCACAGCCTGCAGCAGCGAATGGGGGAGCACGAGGGACGGTACCGATAGCGAGTCAAGGACGGGGCGGGGCCCGGCAAGCGCCGAGACGCGGCGGGGCGGCACAAAAAGCGCGGCGTCTCGTTCTTCGCTCTTCAAACGCAAATACCCACAGGTCAGTGTTCGATGCCGTCGAATGGATCGCAAATAGCGTACTGATAGACGACACAGCCTCAGAAAAGCATCTCGACGAGGATTCGCCCGCCCCTCGGGGACTGGCGTGGATCGAGGACCTTGAGACCGTCAAGCAGGCTGGAGAAGGAGACCGCGATGCCGGGAACGATGGGACTTGGGTGCGGTGTGTTCGTCGTGGATGATCCTTCGCGGTCGCCGTGTGGACGTCGCCGCAATGTCTCGTTGTACAACTCTCTCATAGAACGTAGAAAATCATATCCCATGTTTGGCCCTAGTCTAAGTCACGCGTGTATCATATCTCTGTCCAGAAAGGAACAAGAGTCGGTCGCACTCCGACCACGATGGCCGGCCGCCGTCTGACCCTCAACGACCTCCTCAACGACGACCCCCCGCCTTCCCAGCCAACCAGACAGCATGCCGCCCCGGGCGCAGATTGCTTCCCGCTGTCGCTGCAGGCGTCGAGCGCGCGCAGGACCCCGTCGCCGCCGCGAGGGCGCTATGACCCGCTGTCGGACGCGAGAGTGAGCGCCAGCGCCGGGTCGAGCGGGGGGATGTCCTCGCACTCGCGGTCGCCGAGCGTGCCGTTCCCGGGCAGATATTTGACGGGGCCCGGATATTCGCCGTCGATGTCTCTGCCGCGGGCGAGCACGAGCCATGCGCCTGCGCCGTCGCAGCAGCACTCGCCGTCGCCGCTGGGAGGGCTGGAGGCGCTGATGGAGGCGGCGAGCGCGGAACAGCGGCGGATGCACGACGAGAGCACCCGCCGAAGTAGCGCCGCGGTGGCCGAGTTCGCTGTCCCGCACAGCAACAGAAAGCGCAAGCGGCCGTCAGACCCCGTGCCGCCGCCGCCCCGGGTGCTGGCCGGGCCGGGGATGCAGCCCTCGGAGCTGTCGGAGAAGGAGCGGGAGGTCGTCGAGCTCATGGCCGCCCGCGCCGCCTCTCGCAGTCCAGAGCACGCCCGCTCGCCCGTCGTCCCCGCCGTCACCCGCACACCCGGCCCGCGCAGACCGTGGGAGGACACTCCGACACCCCCGCCCGCTGCTTGGCGGCCCCATGAGCCAGCAGCTTATGTGCACGCGCCGGAGACTCGTCGCGTGGAGCTCCAGCCCGGCGAGCCGGTCGTCCTCAGGCGTGTGGACGTTTCGCCCAACAGCAGATACACCTTCAAGTCCCCTGTCGCTACACCGAAACCGCTGCCGCCTACGTCCAAGCCGCCATCCACGAGCTCTAAACCATCTTCGACGGGCTCAAAACCTCTGTCCGGTCCTTCCAGGCCTCTCTCTGCTCTAGTGCAGTCGTCCCCTCCTCAGCCGCCCACGATCATCCCTCCATCACCCGCGCCCTCTGTTCCCAAAATATCGCCGACGACGCCCCAGCTTCCGCCAGTCCGATCCAAAACGCCATCAACACCGCAGGCTTCTCCGCCGCTCCCCATCATACCACCGCCGACCTCCAAACCGCCTTCAGTTCCATCAAAACCGCCTTCCAAACCATCCCCGGTCACCTCCAAGGCTGCATCCCCGCCTCCACGAACTCCCAGTCCGCCAGCCAGCCGAGACGTATCTCATTCGCCCGAACTGCCCAGTTTCGCCGGTCCCTCGTGGGGTGCCCGTCCGTCCCTGGCCAAGCTAGCGCCGACAAAGGCACGGCCGACCAAACCGGTCAAGCGCGACCGTGCACAGGCCGGGCCGACCGCGTCTATCTCACCGGTCTCCGCTACGACTGCGCTGCCTCCTGCTTCGCCGCCGGCCAAGTCTCCCGTGCTTCCTCCACCAACGCCTGTGCCTGTGGCGAAGCAGCGCTCCGAGTCGGTCGAGCGGATGTTGGAGGAGAGTGCGGGACTCGCGCCTACACCTCCGCCTCAGCCACCGGTCAATGTACCGACACCGGCACCGCGCGAGAAGGAGAAGGAGGTCGCGAAGAAGGGAAAGGAAAAGGAAGTGGCCAAGGAGAAAGAGAAGCCGATATCGGTACCGACGCCTACACCGGTGGCGGCACCTGTATCCGCGCCAGAGCCAGAGCCTACGCCTGCACCTATCCCTGCACCGGCACCTTCACCACCTCCCGAGGCCGTACAGCTCAAATCAGAGCCTGCAGCCGAACCAGCGCCGTCTACACCTGAACTCCCTCCGCCTGCTCCCACGCCCATACAAACAACTCCGGCAGTTCCACCAGCACCCACATCGGCGGCACCCCCAAATCCTGTCGTCGCTTCCCCTGCTCTCGACGCAGATGAGGAACTGGCGCGTTCGCTAGATGCTCAGCTCAACCGCCGCGCCCGGCCTGAACGCGAACGTCGCCGCACTGAGAAACTGCGCGACGTCCAGCCAGACCTGGAAGTTCTCCTCGCACAAGCCGAACGCGAACGTGCGGCGGCACCTAGCAAGAACAGGGCCAGGGACAAGAAGAGAGCGGAGGAGGCCGCGCGGAAGAAGCAGGAGGAGGGACGGGCGGCTGGGGCGAAGGAGAAGGCGAAAGAGGATGGCGATAGAGGAAGGGAGAAGAGGAGGAAGGTGGATGACGACGATGAGCTCGATGCCGAGCTGTTGAGCCTTGTAGGCGACAGGCCATCGCCCGTACCGGCGAAGACCAGAGATGTCACGACCGCTACGGCATCGCCGCCACCACCACCACTGCATACCAAGGCAGAGCTGGACAGGGAGAGCATGCCGCCGCCGCCTTCACCTGATGAGGACCGTGCGCCCTCTGCATTGGTACCCCAGAAGAGGGTATGTTGTTCGCATACCCTGATAGTTGGCCCGTCATACTGATAACATGTACAGGGTCCTGGTAGGCCACCTGGAGCAAAGAACAAGAACAAATTGGGCACCGTACCCGCCTCCGCTATACCAGCCAAGAAGAAACCCGCACCGAAAAAGTCCACGCCTGGCGCACGCTCTCGTTCTTCGTCGGTGATGCCAATGCCATCTTCCTCCCTCGCACACGAAGTCAAGTTCGATAGCGATGACGATGAGCCACAGCACGAGCGAGGCGTATCGATGGAGGTCGACCGCGCACCGGAGCCCGAGGACGCGATCGCGCAGGCTTGGGCGCAGCGCGAGGAGAGGGAGCGGGCAAAGAAGGAGGAGAAAGAACGGGAGAGGGCTGCGAGAGAAGCAAGGAAGAGGGAGACCAAGGAGCGTGTGGCGGAGAAGGAGAACAGGAAGGATAAGGGCGCAGGGAGCGACGAGGATGAGGACGAGGAGGACGACAAGCTGTACTGCGTATGCAAGATGCCGTACGACGAGGAGAAGGTGATGATCGCCTGCGACCGGTGCGTGCCCGCTCTTTACTTCATCGCCTCGATGCTTCGGCGACTGTATTGGGTCGCTTGATGACCTTTTTCGCGTTTCATCCTGGTTCTTCCTTCCGTATGTGGCACCGGGCGCTAATCGGGGTGTTGTGCTTCGTTATATATTGCAGGTGCGACGAATGGTATCATACCAGCTGCGTCGACATGCCCGATAGCGAGGTTGACCTCGTGGACCAGTTCATCTGTCCCCCGTGTGTCGAGAGTACGTCCGTTCCTGTCATTGCATCGTTTCATAACCTAATCTTTGGCTACCACAGAGGACCCTCATCTCAATCTCCGCACAACATACAAACGTCGTTGCCAACGGGGCCTGGAAGACGATGGCGCATGCAACAAACCCTCGCGCGGTGCACTGAGCAAATATTGTTCTGACGCGTGCGGTATTGCTGCTGTCCGCTCGCGCATCGGCGCGTGGAATGGCGACCATGCTGCACTCTGGGAGAGTGTCCGTGGGGCCGAGCGTCGCGAAGGCGTTGTCGTGCGCATACTGGACAGCACATCTTTACCTAACGCTGGCGCCAATGCGCCAACGCCCAACGCAAACGGCCATCATCCGCCGACTGTGACTGTTAACGGTGACGGCATAGTCGTCCTACCCAGCAAGCCCCGCGCAGAGCGCACTCTCGCCCGCCTCCGTGCTCAACTGGACGTCGTCGTCGCCCAGCGTGAGAACCTCACCCGCGCACTGGAAAGCGCGTCATGGCGTAAAAGTCTGCTCGAACTCGCGACCGCGCGTGCGGAGGCAGACTCGTCAACGTGTGGATGGGATCAGCGGTTGTGCTTCGGTGACGCCGAGATCGCGGACTTTGGTGCGGACGTGTTCGCCACTTACGAGAAGGATGCTGCGAAGAGAGCGGAACGGGCTGCCAGTGAAGCTACAGATGGGGAGCGGGAGGGCTCTGATGAGGACGAGAGCGATGCGAAGAGGGAGAAGGACGCGGAGAAGATGGACGTCGACGGCGAGGAAGAAGAGCTGGAGGCGCCATGGTGGTGCTATGGTCGCAAGAAATGCGACCGACATTTCGGGTGGCAGAAGCTTCGCCAGAGCGACGTTGAGTGGGACCAGGAGACGAAGATGGTCGCGCTCGAGCGGCTCACTACGCGCGAGCGTGATATCAGGCGGCGCGTGGAGGATATACTCGATCCGCATGCCGCGCCGCCGGCATCGGCGGCTCAGGTCGAGGATGATGGCGGGACGCCGGAGCCAACGCTGGTCAACGGGCACGCGCATGGAGGTGCGGCGAGGGCCAACGGTACAGAGGCGGTAGTGAAGAAGAGTCATAAGAAGAAGTCGACGTAGGGGTAGTGCGGACTCTGTCAATCTCTTCTCGAACGTTCAATTGTTTGTAGCTCTTGCATCTCGTTTCTGCTGTGCATACATGTTTCGTATCGTACATCCTATTGCTTTCTTACTCGCTGATACACAACCGTTGCTCTTTTCTTTGTTGAATACACAGCTTTCAATGCACCCCCGCTGCTTTGAGTGCTTCCGAGACGACCTCGGTCATGGCGATCACTGCTTCTTCCTCGTACGAGCGGCCAACGAGATGCAAACCAACGGGCGCGCCGCGCCAGGTCTCCGGATCGTCTGTGGGCATTGATCAGCACGCTGTGACGTGATTGGGACGACGGAGATGCCCACAGAAGTTGTACGTCTGTTCGTCCCTCTCGCTTAAGAAAGCATGCGCGGGTTTTTTGGCATCGACAGCGGGATCAACGTGCGTGACAGGGAACACGCAAGCACTGTAGTCGAGTGCATTCCATACGCTTGTGTACGCCGCCGAACTGCACGTGTTTGCTCAGTGATCTGCAACCAAGATCAGCTGGTCAGAAAGACGCACCTGTTCTTGCCGTGTGGTGTAGATGCCCATGGCGCGACGGGGGCAATGATAGCGTCGTACGGACGACCAGTAGACGAGACCTGTGCAGTGGCCTCCCAGCGGTCAAGGTACGCCTTGCGCAGCGCAAGCCTGCGCTTGTGTATTTGGAAGAGTTCGAACGCGGAGATGCTCTTCTCCGGTACCTGCGTGAAAGCGCGCTCAGCGGCATCAAGTGTCTCCATGCTGATCAGCAGCGGCTCTCCCGTCAAGCTCGTCACCGCACGATAGTCTTCTTCGCCGGCAGCTGTCCAGATCTCGTTCTGCGGCGACAACACTCTCAGCGGTATGAGGATGCAGACAAGAGGCAGGCGCTTACAGTGACTTTGACCAACTCTTTGTGGCCGGTCGGTTCCCAGTCGACAACTTCGTGCCCCGCCGCGAGAAGAGCGCGCTTCGTCTCTTCCATCGCACGAATAATGGGCGGATGTGGCACGACTACGCCGTCGTTCCACAAAAACGCGAAGACGAGCTTCCCGCCACGGCCGCCGTGTTCGCAAAGCGCGTACTCGTCGTTGTTCCAAGGCTTACGCACTGCTAGCGGGTCCTTCCTCCACGGCTCTTGACCCACTACGGCGCGCATGAAGGCGAGTATACCCGACAGAGACGGCGACAGCGGTCCCAGAACAGATGGCAACGAGTCTTGTCCTTCAAGTGAGTTGGCCGAACCGTGATATGGGACCCGATTGTACGACGGGCGGAGGCCGTATAAGCCGCAGAACGCAGCTGGCACACGGATCGAGCCGCCGATGTCCGATCCCACTCCGAGCGGGCTGCCCTTCATAGCGATGAGCGCGCCTTCGCCGCCAGAGGAGCCGCCCGAGGTCAGGTTTCGGTTGTAGGGGTTCAGTGTGCGCCCAAAGATGGCGTTGTACGTCTCGACCCACATCAGTGTCTGCGGGACGTTTGTGCGAACGTATGGAACGGCGCCGGCCGCGACGAGCAGTTCGGCCAGAACAGCGTCCTTGTCTTCGTATTTGCCGAGCCATGAAACGTATCCTGTACGCACAGTGAGATCCGTCATCCAAAAAGTCAGCGGAAGGCTCACCCATCGACGTCTCGAGACCTGTAAGGCGGATCTGATCTTTCAGGGAGATAGGCAAGCCATGTAGAGGCCCAGTAGGTTTGCCGGTCTTCTTGAGTTGTTCGTCAAGATACGCGGCACGCTTGAGAGCCTTGTCGATGAAGATCTCGGTCAAGCAATTTACCTATAACTCCGATCTGTACTAGCATGATTGTAGGATCGGACAAGGATACACACGGTCTGTTGCGCGATGATGGCACGTTTGGCGAAGGCAGTAGTGACTTCGACGGACGAGAGCTCGCCCGTCGCCAGCTTCGTGAGGAGTACACCGATGTCTTTCTCCTCGGTGATAGCGACCTCCTTCTCAGATAGCAGACCGCACTCAAGCGGGAAGCGGGTGACGTCAAGGACATCCTTGGGTGGAGGGGTGATTAACCAGTCCTTGGGGATGAGAGCGGCGAGGCGCTTGCGCTTATCCTCAGCGAGTTCTTGCCAAGTCTGGGAGGACATGGTGCACGGGTAGGTAGGATCTCAAAAGATGGACGAAGGTGGACCATATATATACAAGCTTGATCGGGATCCCGCAGGTCCGACGAATGCGGTGGGACAAGAGCGTCATCATTTGGCATATGCACATGGACGAGTCACAGGCGTACTTCTGCCTAAGCTACCAATACATGATGCCATCCTAACGATAACAGACCCCTCTAGAATTGCAGGACCTAACAGAGTAGTCAGTAAGGTGATCGACGGTGACGAGGAGGGTAATGTAGGGAGAAGCTCAGAAAGTCGTTCATGTCAGAAACACGTCGGACGTAGTCCAGGGCGTTTAGTCGACTAAGAGGTGCCAGTGGTGGTCGCTTAGGATGCAACGCTCTTCATAGCGGGAATACGGACAGGATATGATACTCACAAAGCGCGGTGGTGGTGGACGAGGAGAAAGTCGAACACGCGAATTTTCGGCGAGTTTTTCTGCCCGCGCCGGCTCAGGCACGGGCCAGCCGCGAAAGCCGCGTCCGCCTCAATCGCCTGCTCCGAACTCTCGACGCCCACCAAGCCACTCGGTGCGTACGATGCCGCCCTGCTGTCCGACGTGCTACCCCTTGAGTCCGTCCTGGAGCTATGTGTGTGTTTGAACGGGCGGAAACGGGCGGGCAATGCGTTGGATGGCGTCGGGAGACTTTGGATTGACCTCTGATCTTGCCCGCAGGCCCTCAACTCGCCATGTCCTCCATCAAGGCCGTCCAGACGTTCGGCAAAAAGAAGGTGCGTATCCAGCGATACATGCTTCTCTATTCCCTATAGGATACTCATATCCGGATATCTAGACCGCTACGGCGGTCGCGCACGCCCGCGAGGGCAAGGGCCTCATCCGCATCAACGGCTCGCCCATCCACCTCCTCCAGCCTGAGCAGCTCCGCTTCAAGGTCTACGAGGGTATCCTTGTTGCCGGCGAGGACTCGTTCCAGGGCATCGACATCCGCGTCCGTGTCAAGGGTGGAGGTCACACCTCGCAGGTGTACGCCATCCGCCAGGCGATCGCAAAGGCCGTCGTCGCGTACTACGCCAAGTACTACGACGCCTACTCGGCCATGGAGCTCAAGAAGAAGCTCGTCGCATACGACCGCACCCTCCTCATCGCCGACCCCAGGCGGATGGAGCCGAAGAAGTTCGGTGGTCACGGTGCTCGTGCCCGCAGGCAGAAGAGGCGCGCATATTCCGTTTCTCTCGTAAGACCCAGTGCTAATGACCATATAGTTACCGGTGAAGTGGCCCGTCCTTGCCTCGTCGCTCTGTTGTATTTTGCATCATCATCGTCCTCCATGTATCACACTCTCCTTCTCGTCTATGCCATGGCGCCCATGCAAATGTTATGATGCAGAATACGAGTCCTGGGATGAGTCACTACACAAGATGGTCTTCTGGTACGTATGGCATACATCATGGCGAAGACATGTACAAGTCAAAATGTTGCGTCGTCCGAGTCGTTAACAAGCGTAATGGACGTGGAGAGCTGGGGGCTGTATGTGCATAATGTGACGGCTGAATCCCCCGAAACCGAGGGGTGTGGGGAGTAGCGTTCGGGAAAGATATCCAGAGGCTCGGGCGTCGCACATGGAGCTGGTTCAGGTGTGATACAGCGCACAGGCTCGTGGGGAAGCTGTTTTAATTGTAGTATGGGTGTATAGTTTCCCGGCGATGGAGGCATGGGTCGGGTTCGCACCAACTTCTCCGCGTACGAGTGTATGTCCGGTGCGACCCGATAAGCCCGGATTTCGTTTATCTCGTTGAAGAAGATGATCGTGCCCGAGCCCAAGCTTGAACATGGCTCCGCTGTACCAGCAGGGAGTATGCGAGATCTTCGTGGTAGTCGGGACACAGGGGATGCAGTGCCAAACAGACGAGGACGTCCGGAAGGGGTACTAGGCAATGCACCTAGAGGCAGATCGATATTGCGTACTCTGACGGATAAAGCGGGAAGGACGGTGACTCGTGTCCCGGGCTCAGGTAGAGATTGTGGTGATCCCGTCAAAGCCAACGGTACATACGACAGTCGGCGTGTTCTGGGAGAGAAGATGGACGTCGACGCGCGTGGTGAGATAGACTGGCGTGGATGACGTCGAGGGATACGGGTCTTCAACGGCTCTGGCGGCGGCGTGTCCGGAGAGAAGGGTCGATAGGATAGATTCGTATAAGAAGCTGCAGGTGAGCAGACCGGCGGCCTTCGTCCGACAAACTTGAAAGGGCCAGATCGCGATGCCATGGCCAGTACAGACGGCGATTCTGTAGCCTTTGGAGGCGGTGAAACCGAAGATCGTTGTGACGACCCCTCACTCGACGCGTCGTAGTCAGAAATGCCGACAGGCGCTGTGGGTGTCTCGTCGAGTTCCCGCGCAGGCCCAAGGACTGGCGTAAGGACATAGCGTCCAGCGTGTTTGCGCCAAGCGCTCGACCTCGACATTTTAGAAGGAGAGCCGCTCTTCTCATTGTCCCGTGCATCCGCTTCTCTACGTTTGCGTTTGCCGAGAGCTTTTGCCGAGGGTAATGCAAGAGGAGCGATGAGGGTGGGACTAGGAGTCTTTGATGCAGCTCTCCTATTAGGCAACGGCACGGCGACATGGTCGGAAGAGATGTTCGGACTGATTGTGCTGGTTACAGCTGGATGCGCAGTCATGAGACGATGTTCTGTGTATGCATGTCAGACAGCTCAAACTCTGCGTAGCGTTGGTTGATGTGCGCACCGTGAAACGAGCCTGGCGAGGAACCAAAACGCGTGGACTCTGAATGGGGACCGGGGGCGGAGTGTATCCCACGAGAGGTTTTGAAGAAGGGAAAATGCTCGGGAGGAAGGCTTATAGAGGGCATAGAGGGACAAGATGCGTCGCAGGAGCGGTACGATGTCAGAGCACCGACTACAGGGCCACAGTTCGCTGTGTTCAAGCCTCAGGGGATGGAGGTGGTGGTCAAGAGCAGATCGCTGTGCCACGCTCTTGTAAAGGCCATGGTTGCTAGGTCAGTACCAATCGGGGTCTTCCACAGTACGAGCTGACAGGGAGGTAATTGTGTGCCCCGTGCGAAGACGAGAAGTTGGTGTTCGCCACAACAATAAGCATAGGCGCCGACCGTGGATCCGGAAGGGCTCTGATGGGCCCCAATGCGCTTGAACGCAGTTGCGCAGCCCCTGAGAACATCAACGTATAACGTGTATTGGGCGCTCGCCCAGGTGATGGCGGCGTAAGTTAAAGGAAGACGGCGAGTCGCGAGCAGGCAGCTCGCGGTTTCCTGCAAGCGAGGATTGGGCAACGCATCGGCGGCGTAGTGTGTGAAATGTCCAAAACGACTGTCAAGATACGGCGCGATGAGCGCGATCCGCGATTGGCAATTCCGTCTTTTCCCTCTCCCCTTCATGCCAACAATCTGAGAGTGCATTCGTCATGCCCACCAAAGTGATATTCGTAGACAGCGACGGATTCGAGCTTGCTGCTTATGATGCAGACGACGGTCTCTCAAAACAAATGGCTCTCCGTTTCACGGTATGCACGCATCGACAGTGCTGCAAAGGCCCCCTTTACAGTCCGCTCACTGATTCACGGCAGGCACGCGGCGGCAAACTGTGCGAGAGCGTCGAGGAGGCGAGCTACGTGATCATCAATCAGGATAAAGGTGATTGGAGAGGCGCGTTCCGCACCTACGTCTCGGACGACAGGATCGCTCTTGCGACTGGCTGGATAGACGCCTGTATTGACGCCGGCCGCGCTCTGCTTGAGGACGATCAGTTCGGAGGTTTCCGTCTTCGTCCGCACGACACACCGCCTGCATCTGAACACCGGTACGTAGGGTTATGTCTTTTGTTCTTTGAGGGGGAAATGTGGTCTCTGACACGCATATAAGCACTCCCCTCCCGACACCTCGCACCACACCGACCTCCTCTGCCCCTCCCAACATGCCCCCCAACAGTCATAGTCCGCAATACCAACCCACCCCTGGGCATTCGGCTTCTCCCTCTGGTCAGCAGCCGACCCCTGTCTTCCCGCAGGCCGGGCCGCCCGGTGGGTACTATCAAGGACAAACCCCCATGACCGCTGGCTTCCCCCATCAGTTCTCCCAGCACACCTTGCTTCAAGGTCTCATGAACCACATTCAACAGTCAGGAAATGCCGCCGGACAGCCTGCTTTCGTGTCCTACTCTCAGCCTCAGCCTTCTTATCAGCAGCAGCCAAATCCCGGGCAGTCTCAGAACCCCTATCCAATGCCACAGGCATCTTTGCATCCGCACTTCCTGGCTCAGTACAGCGAACAATTGTTGCAAAATATCAACATGCAGCAGGTTCACGCTGCGCAAATACAACAAGAGCTGCAGACTTTCGATTTGAACAACCCCTTCGTCGTCGACACCCTCGTTGCTGTTGCCCAACACCAAAACAATGTAGCTGCACTACAGCTTCTCCAGACTATCCGAGCTTTCCACCCCCAAATGCCGGCCACCCCTATGTTAGCGAGCTCGCCGCCTATGCACTCCGCACATATGTCCTACTCGCCCGTCGAGGACGATGCGCCAGCGCCCTCAACGCGCAAGCGCAAGTCCGAGCAGATGGCGGCAGATGGCGGTGATGCTTCCGAACCACGCAAGGTTGCCAAAAGGCCCAGCATCGCAGGAGCATCGAAGGACAAGGGAAAGCAGAAGGCGGTGCCCTCTACGCGCCCGAATGGCCCGTCCTCGCGCAAGGTGTCGTCTTCTACGGATCTGCGTGGCGAAGCATCGGGCTCGGGCTCGAAGCCGGCCGTTAAGCAGGAGAAAGATCGAATCTTTAAGAAGAAGAACGGCGAGCCTTTATCTGTCTACGTGTTGGAAGGTCTCTGGGGAAGCAAGAGCCGAGTAATCCTCGCGGCCGTGAAGGCATGTGGACAGGATTTTCATCTCACGAGTGAACGGTACTCATTCGTGATAGGCGCATGGTGGCACGTTAATAGGTGCGGGTCGTCTTGAAGAGGCCGACTTTTGTGTCATGGATCGCTCAAACAGCAAGGATGCCAAGAAGCTCCTCGATATGGCATCCAAAGCCGACGTCACGATGGTCAATGCCGAGTTTGTTCCCAAATGTGTCGAAAAGGGCAGGCTTCTCCGCTACACCGACTTCCCGTCCCCTCTCAATGTCGTATCTGGATCCGAGTCCAAGCGCGTCGGCAGACCGTCGCACTCCTTCTTCACAGAGGAAAAGCCGAGAAAGGGCCAGAAAGACGATTTTTTGGATGACGACGAGGACTCAGAAGATTCAGAGGATACGTCTGATGACGAGCCTGTGCCGCGGAAGAGGCCGCGAACGAGAACGTCTGAAAAGCGGCCGGATAATATTACCGCCACCACGTCTTCTCGCTCAAAGGGCCGCACCGCTTCAGGAGGTGGCGCGAGTTCGTCCACTCCGGTCAGGAGCTCGAAGGGGATCACGACTGTCAAGTCGGCCAAGGAGCAGTCGGCTGTCAAGCAGCCGAAGCTTATACCCAAGCCGAAGTCCCCAGCCCAGGTTGTTCCGAAGCCGCCGCCAGCGAAGGTCGCGCAGAAGTTTGCAGTGGAGAAAGCCGCGTCGAAGCCTGATGTCGCCTCGGCGGCAGAACGTGACTCGCCGAACCCTCCTCCGCCCGAGAAGTTCGATGGCAAGCGATATAAGTTCACGGACGAAGAGATGGAGTGGGCGTGGAATAAATTAGCGCGTATGGCTCAGCAGGACGAGTTTCTTTCTTTGGCCAAGGCATGCGAGGGCCTTGCGAAGAAGGTGAATATGACGAGTCACAACTTTCACAACGGCTAACAGTCGCATGCAGACACCCCACCATTCCGCATCCTCATGGCGGGGCAAGCTGGAACGAGATCTGGACAGATTTGAAGAAATTCGCGCTGAGGCTAACCCGTCCAGAACTGGTGCTCATCCGCCAGTCTCTTCTGCAGGCTCTGCCATGCCACCGAAGCTTCGAGTCAACTCGTCCGGCTCTTCGACGCAAGTGGAGGCAGCATCTGAGTCCGCTACCTCGGCTTCGGCTGTCGCGACCGCTCAAGCGGTGCAATTGGATGAATCAAATCAGTCTTCACAGTCCAACTCTGCATCAGCGAGCTCGCAAGCGGCACCGACGGGGGAGTTGCCGGCTATCCGTTCCGACGAAGGAGACGATCTCGAAATGGCCATCTCCTTCCTGATCCATTACGAACCCTCCAAACAGGTCGAGATTCCAGGCGATGAGACTATTTGGCCCGTACTGGCCCGTACACTTGCGGTACGTGCAGACGCGAGTGCGTAAACGATCATGCGTACTAACATGGCTTTCTAGCCATGTAAATCGCAACCTTCCTGGCAGGAGTTTTGGGAGAAATATGAGAGCAATGTTCTCCAAGGGGTCCAGGAACGGGTAGCATCCGGGAACACAGCCGCAGGTCCACCAAACATCGTATAAACCATCATGCACTTTATGTAGTAATCTTGTCGCTCATGCCAGTTCTATCGTATACAATATAATCTTGACGCACACTTTCTTGGGCACGTCAGGCGAAAATGACGAACGAACGGCAAGCGAGGGTAGCAGAAGGACAAAGCAGATGCATTGGGTCTATGCGAGTGGTATACGGCTCAGCCGTCTGTTGGTGCCAATGGCGGCGAGGATGGATGCTGTTTGAAGAAACGTTTCCGACGTTCCTCGTAAGAGAGTTCGGGGCCGCCTGCGAGTTTATTCCCAGCGTACTCGTACGTGCCCACTGCGGCTCCCATGAAGGCGCATGAAGCGGCGGCGATGGGTAGTGAGCGCTCTGGTCCGAGTTAAACACCATCGCATAACGCAAGAAATAAAGTCAACATACTTCGTAGTCCAAGTAAGAAACCGGCTGCGCATCCACCCGCGAGGCCATTCACCGCGTCGTCCTTTTCGCGCTGGTTTGCGACAAACGCCTCGGTCGCCGCAAGAGTTGCGCCCATGGCAGCTTTTAATTGGTACATCAGAATGAGCTCAGATGCACTGGCAACATTTACGCACCGATAAAGCCTATGTTTCCTCCATAGCGCGTGGCAAAGCCGAGCGCACCCTCGCTGTGGGTGCCGAGCGCGTTCTGAACGACGGAGACGAAGGTGCCGACGAGCGCGCCCTGGGAGCCAAGCTTGATGGCGCCCTGAAATGGTGACTGGTGGTGGTATGTCGCCTCGTAGGCTTTGTCGTCCTGCGAGGCTGTGACGCGGCCCGACATGGCTGCAAGCTTGTGTTCGGTGCAGCTACAAAGTGAAGCGCCGCGCGCGGAGGTGAACGGACGACCGTGGGAACATTGCCCACGCGAGCACAAACCACTCGCGGCCGTCATGTTTGTCTCCGCGCTGCCACCACGAACTTGGCCGCCTTTGTTGCTCGCGCATCGGTTGTAGCCGTGAGACGCATATAAAAGGATCTCACGCAAGGTCTTAGATATCAACCGCGACTGACAACCATTATGGATGTCGATGCCTCCATGCCCAAGACTCTCGACGACCCAATCGTGACTCACGAGCTTTACCGGGAGATTAGACCAATAATTGTGTGCTTTAGATGATATCGGTAGCGTATAATCTCTTACCCAAGATGATAGCAAGAAGGGGACGACGAGTCTAAGATTTGCATGTTTACCTCTGCCTGTTTGTTCCCCTGGACCATCCTCGATTTCAACACTCTTTGGGATGGATCTTTGCCAGCGCAGACAGGCGAGGATGGACAGCGGGATTGGGCTCGCCTGGTTGAGCAGTTTGCGGATGTCGCTCTGCTCGGTGGCATGGGTACGATGACTATCTGCTCGACATTCCGTCAGCACTTTCGCACAACCTTGACATTCGCGAAGCTAGAGGTGGGTGATGTTCCAATACAATCGAACACCGTATCGTACTTAGCGATGTTCATTTCTTTTTGTTCTCTAGCGAGAGCCGGTACTAGCTTCGGGGTGGGCATTGAAGAAAGATAACCCTTTCGCGCCTCTTGCAGTCTTCTCGCTTGGGTCATATGTTCTGGTCCACGACATCCAAGAGAATAAACTCTTGAGCGTCTTGCGAGGTCATGGCGGTGTACGTCTGAATCGCTACATAGGCCAAATCCGATTAGTCGCTCATCGTAAACAGTTGATACATGCCATCGCCGTCCATCCAAGCGAGCCACACCTCTTCTGCACCACATCGCGCGATTTCACGACAAGGATTTACAACCTTAATCTCAAAGCAGCCAACAGCAAGGATGATATCCGACTCAACCCAATCTGGAGTCCGTGCGAAAGACATCCCAGTAAGGGTGGTGCGCCTCATGGTCTACGAGCAAGCGAACCGGAGGGCTATAATCCTCAAGCTCCTGACGCTAATCCGAGGGCGAAGAAATCAAAGGTGAACAAGCCAGCTCCCATCGGTCGTTGCGTCAAGATACTGGTCGGTAGCCGCGCAGCTGGCCATCAACAACCAGTACTCTGTGCAGCCTGGCATCCCACAGTACCTGCCATTGCTACAGGAGGGGTCAGTACACAAATCCTCTTACAGCACCTACTACTAACTTGAATAAAGCTCGATCGTTCCATCAAGATCTGGCGCGCGGCACCATTGCCTGAAGATGGTTCCATCTCCCGCGAGGACAAACCACTGTTCAGCTGCGTGGAGCTGCATAGAGCCGGTGTCATGTCCGTCGCCTGGTAATGGTCGAGTCCCCACATTACCACACATATTGCGCTGATTTGAAACGACTTGGAAAGGGTCGGCGAGGATACACTCATTACTCATGACAGGCCGGCGCGTATGAATAGCAAGGGTCAATACGAGCCAGGTGCAGTATCATTTTGGAAATGGAACTCTTTCAGACGGTTCTTTCCCGTCGGACAAGAGGAAGGATGGCATACACAGCCAGACTTAGTCGGAGTCGCAGCGGTGCGCCCTCGTCACATTTTCGGAGCAGGTTTTGTGCTGTCTGGAGCTGACGAATCTCTATTAGGACTTTTCCGAGAGCGGTCAGTTGTTGCCGGTACCCTATGAACCTGAACTCATCGGATGCTCGCAGCCTCCTTCGAGATCATCACTCGGTTGGACCTTCCACAGCAAAGATCGGCTCTGGGTGCCAGAGTGTACAACGACAAGCACCTCTACCCCGTACTGGCTATCCCCCTTCAACACAGTATACGACTATTGGCGCCTGGAGATCTGCCATTATACGACAGGCAAACAGCCGTACCTCCGCTGGAAGGTGAAGAAGACGTCGCGATCGCACATGAGATGGGTAATTTGAGCCTGACTGGCGGGAGATCACGTTCGAAAGAGACGGCTCGTATTATCACGAAGCCTGGCGAAGAGGCAACCTTGCTCGCAGTAGACATGTCCCTTACGGGCAGGCTCATAATCGGCGTTGATGACATGGGACGGGCATGGGTGTGGGTTGGGTCTTGTGATTTCGCTCGTGTTGATAGCTCTTGAGATGTAGAAGGGTCGTAGTCTCAGATACTTACCGCTCGGTCTTCGACTCAGTCCTGCTTACAGTGGTTACACAGAAGAAGAATGAAGAACGCAGTCAATTCCAGCCACACTAGGGACAGTAAGGGTAAGTGAAGGTAAAAACGCGCAAGCGCGGAGGGCGAGGATGAAGACAAAGTCCACAGCGTATAGGTCCAAGTAGCGCAAGCGTTCACGTCCACGGTATAGTAAAGAAAAGCCCTAGTGCACCAAGATACCCGCGGGTTGCCATGCGTCCCACGCATCTACTGGCCGGCATACGCAGTGATAGTTCCATCGAGAGACTGCGTGGGCTGCTCCGCCGGAATGGTGTTGATATCAGTGCCATCACGCTTCTGACCAGCGTACGCCGTGATCGTGCCATCGAGGCTCTGTGTGGGCTGCTCGGCGGGAATGGTGTTGATGTCGGCGTCGTCGCGCCTCTGCCCGGCGTACGCGGCGATAGTTCCGTCAAGGGACTGAGTAGGCTGCTCGGCAGGGATCGTGTTGATATCAGCGTCATCGCGCTTCTGGCCGGCGTATGCGGTAATAGTCCCGTCGAGGCTTTGCGTAGGCTGCTCGGCGGGAATTGTGTTGATGTCGGCGTCGTCGCGCTTCTGCCCGGCGTATGCGGTGATAGTACCGTCGAGGGACTGGGTGGGCTGCTCGGCAGGGATGGTGTTGATGTCGGCGTCATCGCGCCGCTGGCCAGCGTACGCAGTAATAGTACCGTCGAGGCTCTGCGTAGGTTGCTCAGCCGGGATAGTGTTGATGTCAGCGTCGGCACGCTTCTGGCCGGCATATGCGGTGATCGTGCCGTCCAAGCTCTGGGTGAGCTGCTCAGCGGGGATCGTGTTGATATCGGTATCATCACGCTTCTGGCCAGCGTAAGCGGTGATCGTGCCGTCGAGGCTCTGGGTGGGCTGCTCGGCAGGAATGGTGTTGATGTCGGCACCGTCACGTTTTTGACCGGCGTAGGCAGTGATAGTACCGTCAAGAGACTGGCTGGGGGACTCCTCCGGCATCGTGTTGATATCGAGCTCAGCGCGCTCGTAGGCGTGAATGAGCTGTACAGGCGCAGGCTCGCGCTGTTGCATGTTCGCAGCGGCCTTGCCGAGACGGAGGGGAGCTGCGGACGCCGACAGAGCAGCTAAGAGAATGAGAGCAACGCGGATAGCGAACATGACGACGGTAGAGACTTTATGGATTCGGGACTGAAGAATGAAAGTGCGCAAAAATGAGGGGATGGTCGACCTGCGGCCTAAGTGGACGGAAGGGTGAAGTCGAAGTCTGGAAACATAGGGAGGTTAGACGAGCAAGCGGAATAAACTCAAAGATAATCGCACCTGAAAGCGAGGGCTGGAAGAGACAAAGGGCCTCGGTCTGATCGGCTCGCATCTTTATAGGAACGTCTCCCGGCGTTCTCGTCGTCGCGAGGCGACTGGTTACCGTTACCGCCGCCCTGGGCGCCACACGCGATTCGTGCAAGGCGCGCGACCTTCTGATTCGCTCCCACACTCAACTTTTTCGACCCGCGCCACCATGTCCTCAGACCCTCGTTTCGCCCGTCTGAAGACTGATCCTCGCTTTCGCAAACCCAAAAAGCAACAGTCTAAGGTTGCTGTCGATGACCGCTTCAAGTCCGCATTTAAGAGCGACAGCAAAAAGGGAAAGAAGGGCAAGGGAGGTCCGTGTATGATCTTCTCTCGCGCGCGGCCGTTGCCTGATCTCACAGTTGCAGCCCCACGAGTGGACAAGTATGGCCGGCGTGTTGCAGAGACGAAAGAGACAGATGATCTCAAGCGTTTCTACCGTCTTGACGACGCCGACTTGGCCGCACCCGGTCCTGATTATGCTCGTGGAGAGGGTCTCGTCGAGTCTTCCTCTGAGGAGGAACCTGAAGACGCTGCCCCTGATGCCGACGACAGTGAAGATGAGGGCGTGGTAACTCTCGGTGCTTCCCGCTCTAAAACTGTCGACGATAACGCTGAGATCGACCTCGACGAGGATAACTTCGCGGATCTGGATGCTCAGGCTGCTGCTTACACCCAAACCGTCGTCGATGCTGAGGAAGAAGAGGATGACAGCACACGCACTCGGAGACTGGCCGTGGTGAATCTGGATTGGGATCATGTCCGCGCCGTTCACTTGCTCAAGATCTTTGATTCTCTCATCTCTCCTGTCGTTGGTGCTTCCTCTTCGAAAACCTCGGGCTCTATCGTACGCGGCAAGGTTCTGAGAGTACGCGTCTATCCCAGCGAGTTCGGTAAAGAGCGCATGGCTCGCGAGGAACGAGAAGGGCCTCCAGTAGAGCTGTTCAAGAAGAAGAAGGCCGCGGAGGAAGAGGAAGTAGATGCTACAAACATCTACGAAACGGGAGATGCGGACGAGTACGACGAGGATGCCCTGAGAAAATACCAGCTTGAGCGGCTACGGTGCGCCCGTATGCCTTTTGTACTCGCTACGTTGTACCAATTGAGATGCCAGATACTACTACGCTGTCGTCGAGTGTGATAATACGCAAGTTGCGTCGCATATATACAATGAGCTCAATGGTACAGAGCTTGAACGCTCGGCGAATGTCTTCGATATGAGCTTCATACCTGATGAAATGGACTTCGACGGCGCATGGCGGTGAGCTTGACGTGTTACTCGAGACTCCTTGACCTCATCATCTATTAGGGATGAAGCGACGCCGGCAGAGTTAACCTCTCACTACCGTGCGCTGGAATTTACTACGGATGTACGTGCGCATATCTCCCCAACTGATTCACTCTAACCTGACCTCGTATAGGCTCTCCGCCACTCAAAAGTGAAGCTTACTTGGGACGAGGACGACCCTGAGCGTAATCGTGTCACCCGTCGCACCTTGACTAAGAAGGAAGTCGAAGAGGGAGACTTCCGCGCCTTCATCGCGTCTGGCTCTGAGTCTGAACCGGAGAGCAAAGCAACGAGGAAGGCGATGGGCCGTGACAAACTGCGCGAACTTCTCCTTGGTGGGGGAGGTGACGCGCTGCCCGAGGGCTGGGGCAATTCTGGCTTTGACGGTCCCGGTGATGACGACGACGTAGACATGGAGGTCACGTTCATGCCGGCACTGAGCGAGAAGAAGGATGAGGAGGAGACGACGTTGGAGAAATATCAGCGCAAGATGCGGGAAAAACGCAAGAAGCGCAAGGAGGAGTGGAAGGAGGGCCAGGCGGACCGCGAAGAGTCCTCCGAAGCGGCGAAGCCGTCGCGTAAAGGCAAAGATACACCGAAGGACGACTTCTTCGAAGACAGTGGGAGTGATCTCGTAGCAGAGGCGCTGGCGAAGAATAAGGATAACGGTCGGAAAAAGATGGGAAAGAAGGTGAAGAAAGCTGAGGAAGCCGGAGAGGTTGAGGAGAGGCTACCATCTACGAAGGAAGAGCTATCACTGGTCGTCGTGCCGGATGGGATTGGGAACGAACCGAAACATTTCGATATGAAGGCGGTTCTTCGTGTCGAGAAGGGTAGGAAAAGGAATAAGAACAGGCGTGGAAAGAATGGCGACGATGAGGATGATGGGGAGCGTGAGTTGCAGGAGGACTTCTCCATTGACGTCAAGGACGACCGCTTCAACGCGGTGCACGAGGACTACACGTTTGCCATCGACCCCAGTAACCCTCAGTGCGTACCATTGTTTTCGATATCCGCGGTAGCTGATGCCGCTCGCACAGTTTCAAAAAGACAAAGTCTATGTCTGCGTTGCTCGACGAGAGGCAGAAGAGGCAGAAACAGAAACGTGGGCATGACGATGGAGATGGGATGGCAGCGTCCGAGGGAGGCAACGGTGATCAGAGTCTGCAGAGCCTCGTCGAAAGCCTCAAGAGAAGGACGTCTTCGCTTACGGGAGGAGTCGGGAAGCGACGTAGGACATGATGACCACGACACAGCTGCACTTCTCGACTCGTGTACATACGTTATTCGGCGCATTTCATTCGTTGAGCAGTATAGATGGAAGGGTCAGATGACAGTATCGTTGGCCGTGATATAGATACAATGAGCACACCCTTAAGCACAGTCCTTGTTCCGACAGATTGGACTAGGAGATTTTGGCATTAGAGAAGTCCAGTTCTGGATGAGCGTCTTGGAACTTCTTCAGCATCTACAGACGGTCAGCCCGCGTGCCACAGCAGAGGCGTCATAGACATACCTCTGCCTTCTTCATTTCGTCTGACGTAGGTTTTCCCATTTGCTGCATCGCAAGTTTAGTACTGCCGCAGCATTTGTTCGCAGAAGAGAGGCTCACTTTTTGGGCGTTATCGAACTTGCGTCGACACTATCAGCAAAAGCGTTCATACCGGCTCAAGAAAGATCATACGTACCATCATCTTCTCTACCATTCCTCTGCACATAACACCGGTCAAAGAGAGTAGAAGCACCCATGCCAATGCGACATACCTTGTCTCCCCGTCAAGATCGCTGAGCTTACTGTTCTCCGGTTGGATCTTCCTTGTATCGATCTTCGGGTGGTGCGCAAGGACGTTCTCCCACCATTGCATCTTGTTCACCTTTTCTAGATGAACGTTCACTATGGATTGATCCTCTGAAGGGCTTGTGGTCAGCATATATGTGTGTAGCAGACTGGTAAAACAAGTACCGATCGACCAGGTGCTCTCCTCGACTTTGATGTCTTTGCATAGCTCGCCGCTCATGATAGGCTCCTTGCCCTTGAGACCTACGCTCAGCTTCTTCTTCTGAATGACGACGCTGAGGTCACGTCCCCGTGTTCCCTGTGGGACAGGAACGACGATATCGACCTCGCCGAGTTCCTGCTTCCAGGTATAAGGCAGCGCTGCAAGATGTCAGTGGCGTAACATCGAGCTCAAGGCGAGACGCACGGACCCGCCTGCTCTTCTGCTTCACGAGCGCGATCTGCCTTATCCTTTGCCTCGCGCTCCTCGGGTGTCAGCTTGTCCTCGTCAACTTCGTCGATGGCGGCCATTGAGATCCGGAGTGAGTGGCTCGAGACGCGTCGATCGCGAGCTGAGGACAGCCGTGGGAACTCCTGGGCTACAATCCGCGCTCATCGTCGCGAGCGTCGTCTTTGCCGCTTACCTCCACAACCACACACGATGTCTGCCTCCGAACCCTATGCGGACCTTGACGTGCGTACTCCTCTGCTATTGAATGATCACAGACTGAAGTAGCACACAGACCCTGAGGTCTCTTGTGGCTCGGAGCACGGTAGATCGCCTGAAAGCTATAATCGCCGGCTTCGCAGCCGAGTGCCATACGTCGATCAGCAAGTACGGGAAGAAGAACGAACTCATTGACCGAATATGCGAATCCCTGTCCAGTTGGAAGGCACGCTCCGACCTCACCAACTTCAACAAGGCGCGCGGGGTCATCATCCAGGTCAAGAATACGGGCAGGTGCGTGCTTGGGCCTCCCCGCCGCGTTTTCTGCATGCATCTTATCGCTGACCGTCCCCCTTGTCCCCCTTGGCTCTCGCCACCACCAGCTTCTCTGGATCCACACCAATGCCCTTTTCTCTCACAAGCGCCGGCGCCTCGACTAAGCCACGCTACGCCCCTCCCTATGTACCCCCGTTGCCGAGCACACGTGCGCCACTGGTAACAACGCTACCCGCCAGTGCAAGTGCACCGGCCGCAACCGGCCTGCGTCCAAGTCGGTCTCCCCATCTTTTGTACTCGCGCTGCACGTCTGACAATCCTCCTAGCATATCGACCGAAGCCGTCACCATTCTTCACCAACGAGCAATCTGTCTCCCTAGTTGTCGAATGCCCCGGTAAGCCGCTCTTTCCAGCTTGTATCTGCGTCTGCCTCATCCACTCGCAGAGTCTGCGGGCGCACAGGATCGCCGGCAGCAGGCATTGAATTTCACTTTGACCAACGAACACATCGCCAAATTGCGCTCGACGACGTAAGCCACATCCTCACCTGGGCTTAGCTCACAAGCCTGATCAACGCATAGTGAGACTTGGCAACTTCGTCTTTACTGCACCTCAAGTTCGTTCTACGGAGTCGGTGCCGCAGCGTATCGGTTTAGCAACTCACCTTGTCCAATCGAGTTTCCACCGACATGCGAGATTCGCGTCAATCAGACGCAGCTCAGCGCGAGCACAAAGGGTCTCAAGAAGAAGCCTGGTACAGCGCCGCCACCCAATCTTGGCAAGACGGTCAACATGAACCCCGGCGCGTCCAACAAGGTCGACCTTATATACGTAAACAGTCAACAGAACAACAACCAGACGCCCACACCGCCAAAGGTACGTTTCCCTCTTCAATCAACACACGGCTGGTCGCTGACGTGATATGCAGAAATATTACATGACGGTCATGCTTGTGCAATACACTAATACCGATCACTTAGTCGAGCGCTTAAAGAAGGGCAAGTATGTCAGCGCGGACCGGATCCGCGAGCAGCGGCGACGTGAGCTTCTTCTCATGGACTCTCAGTCCCCCCGACTGACCCTTCGTAGTCCAGCAATCGTCGGATGACGATGATATCGTGGCCGGTCCCTCGAAGATATCGCTCAAGTGTCCCGTACGTACAATGTTTTCTACGGGACGCACGTTGTGCTGAATGTCACGCAGTTGAGTTACATGAAGATCGCGACCCCGGCTCGCTCTGCAGCCTGTGTTCATCCGTCGTGTTTTGACGCCATGTCTTGGTTCTCTGTGAACGAGCAGACTACGACGTGGACGTGCCCGATCTGTGAGAAGCCGATCAACCAGGAGGAGCTTATCGTTGACGGGTAAGCAAAGTCTGTGTCCGTCACCAGCTAACGGCTCACGTCGCGTCTAGATATTTCGACGAGATCTTGAAGGCTACGCACGAGGACACCGAAGACGTGATGGTCCAGGCTGATGGGGAGTGGCATACTGCGGACAATGAATACGCATCACCCGCCTGGAAGCTCTCACACCCCACACATCCTGTCGCGCCACCGACTCCTGCGCCCTCTGCGGCTCCGACGGGAGCACCCAGTCATTCGCCTGCCGCAGCCGGGTATGCGTCGGGCAGCGGGAGCGGCAAGGAGAAGACTTCGATGCCTCCAGGGCCTGATGTCGAGGTCTTGATACTCGACTCGGACTCTGAGGATGACCGACAGGTCAAGCGCCAGTTGGTGCGCAACGGACCTGCCTCGAGTTCCTCGGTATCAGGATCATACCCGCCGGACTCGCAGAGCAACACCGTCATCGATCTAACGCTGTCAGACGACGAAGATACGCCGCCTCCAGTCAGGGCCACGCTACCTTTAACAAGAAAGCGTTCCGCTGTCGACGACGTGCAAATGCAGAGCGGGAAACGTGCCCGAACCGAGGATTCAACTGGTAAAGTCGCCGCTCCCCATCGTTCGGCCTTTGGTAGTAATCGTGGGGCAAGTCCGTATGTGAACGACGGCACTCTTTATTCCGCACAGTACTCGCCAGCACCCCGCATCAAGGAAGCATGGTCGCCGCCGCCGGCTACTCCTGTGGCCCAGCACCCGCTTTTCTTGCCGACATCACGTCCAGCCTCCGCAAAGGCTGCCTCTCCGTCTTCATCCTCCCCGCCGCTCAGTACCGCCTTACTGAATCAACCACTACCATTCTTCACCCCGCGGTTTGATCCTGGTCCTCGTGCCGCGTCGTCCTCGGTGTCCCCGTTCGGCGGTGGTCCCCTGCCGCCACCCTTTCCTGGAATGCACATGCCGTCTTACAACGAGCGACCTGCGCCGCGGTTCGGTCAACCTCCAGAGTGGCATTGATATACGTTATTTGTCCTAGGGATTGTGTGTCTCCTATCATACTTGTCGCGTCCTGCTTTCGTATCCACATGTACCTACACGTTGCCGTATATTACATATTGTCTAAATGGTTACGGTGTCCATTCGGGGTCGTGTGCGACGGTTGATTGGAACGAGAAAACTCGTGGCCGACGGGACGGGGCGGAGCCCACGTGGCAGGGGAACCCAGGGCCGGTCGACCGTCGTTGGCTGCGAACATCCCGGAAGATCGGGGTTGGCCGGGACTGGAGCGCTCAAAAACCTTCGAGGCGCCTCGTCCTCCTTGGTTCTCCACCACCACAACCCCCACTCCGTTTCCTTCCCCTCCCTCTTTATTCACCATGGCCGACGTCCCGAGGCAAAAGTCCACTAAGGACTTCTTCAGTGCGTTCCGTTTGCGAGCCAGCTGGCCCGTTACCGTGCTATCTGTGCTGACCTGGCACTCTTTCAATAGCCGACTTCATGATGGGCGGTGTTTCTGCCGCCGTCGCTAAAACCTCTGCTGCGCCCATTGAGCGTATCAAGCTCTTGGTTCAGAACCAGGACGAGATGGTTCGTTTTTGAACTTGATGCCACGTTGCTTCCTCCGTCTAACAATGCTCCCGTAGATCAAGCAGGGCCGTCTCTCTGAGCCGTACAAGGGTATCAGCGACTGCTTTGCCCGCACGTACCGTGACGAGGGTCTTCTCTCGCTTTGGCGTGGAAACACCGCCAACGTCATCCGTTACTTCCCGACGCAGGCCTTGAACTTTGCCTTCAGTGCGTTGTCCTGTCATACGGTCTCGTGACGTGGCGTACTGATGCCTATCTACAGAGGACTACTTCAAGTCCCTCTTCGGTTTCAAGAAGAACGACGGCTACTGGAAGTGGTTCGGCGGTAACCTTGCATCTGGTGGTGCCGCTGGTGCGACGTCGCTGCTCTTCGTGTACTCGCTCGACTACGCCCGTACTCGTCTTGCCAATGACGCCAAGTCGGCGAAGGGTGGAGGTGCCCGCCAGTTCAACGGCCTGGTGGACGTTTACAAGAAGACACTTGCGTCGGACGGTATCTCTGGTCTCTACCGTGGCTTCTTGCCCTCGGTCGTCGGCATCATCGTCTACCGTGGTCTCTACTTCGGTGTCTACGACTCTCTCAGTGCGTAACGGGTTGCTTAACTGATATGTCCAGTTGCTGATTTATGCTTCAGAGCCCGTCGTCCTTGTTGGCCCGCTTGAGGGCAACTTCCTTGCGTCCTTCGCTCTCGGTTGGGGTGTCACGACCGGTGCTGGTCTCGCCTCGTACCCCCTGGACACCATCCGTCGTCGCATGATGATGACGTCTGGTTCCACCACCCACTACAAGTCCATGTTCGACGCCGGTTCGCAGATTGTCGCGAAGGAGGGTGTCAAGTCGCTCTTCAAGGGTGCCGGCGCGAACATCCTTCGTGGTGTTGCCGGTGCTGGTGTCTTGTCGCTCTATGACAAGATGCAGGAGCTCATGTTCGGCAAGGTCTACAAGGGTGGCTCTGGCTAAATACCTTGTGCCTGTGCTACGTAGTACTGACTTTGGACGAGAGGGACGTCGGCCGTCATCCTCGTCCCCGCATACCTCTAGACACTTACAGCTGCATATATTACATTTGTCTGGTATTTCATCTGGTTGGGACGCCTATGGCGAAGTGTGAATAATGAATCTGAAAGACCGATGAGTTCGAAATCCAGGAAGACGTTGATGCGCGAGTGTCATAAGCATGTAATATCTGCGCGAGTCTGTCAGCACATACGACCTGCGTCGGCGAGGCGCAGGCGCTGCTTGTCTTCTACTCCGTAGATGCGATGGCTTAGCCGGGCTTCCCGCTTGATCTATCCGCCCTCGCGCTCCCTGCTGTCCTTGCCATTGCGACGGCGGTCGTCGACGTTCAGCTTGCGGCCGTACCAAGAAGCGTGTCTGAGTGCATGTTTGGAAGCATTGGGCGTTGGAGTGCGACGTATCGGCGTTTCCCTTCCGACAGGCGCAGGAAAGACCGCGGTCTTCATCTCACTGCTCTCGCGACTGGAGGCTACGAAGGCCGACGCGCGGCGCTCGCTTGTCATAGTGAACAGCGTTGAGCTCGCCCGGCAGACAGCCAGCTTGGCACAGAAGCTGCGCCCAGACTGGTCTGTCGAGATAGAGCAAGGCGGGAAGTATAATGCATCTGGGAGGGCAGACTTGTGCGTGTGGCCTTCGTTCGATGTGCGCGTGTGACTGAGCCCATATATAGGACCGTCGCGACGTATCAGACTCTTTTACGCCCACAGAGATTGGAGAAGTTCGACCCACTGCACCTCCGTGCCGTCGTGGTTGACGAGGCTCATCACGCTGCTGCACCGTCGTGCGTACTCGTCGCGTGGCCTCGAGCTCATAGACTAAAGCACCCCAGATACCGCCGTATCCTGTCGTACTTTGATCCTGCTATCCAGCCTCCGGACGATTTGAGGGGTAGCCGTGACCCGCCGCCCGGCAAAGGACTCGACATCCCCATATTTGGCTTTTCTGCGACCTTCAGTCGCCATGACGGACTTGCACTCGGTTCCGTGTTTGAGCAAATCGTATACCACCGGGACTTCTTGGAGATGATTAAGGAACAATGGTGAGTGGTGAATGTGATACTTCGAGGAGGTTTGCTCATGCCTCATACAGGCTGTGCAATGTGCTCTTCACAACCGTACGCGCTAATATAGACCTGAAGAATGTTACCATACATTCCAGGTCGGGCGATTTCAACGCCAAGAGCCTATCTCATGTCATCAACACGGACACTATCAACAGACTTGTTGTTCAGTCTTGGATGGACAAAGCCGGTGAGCGAGATTCATTGCGTGACGATGTTCTTCATACAATATTCGCGTAGCGGATCGCAAGTCGACCCTTGTCTTTTGCGTCAACTTGGCCCACGTCCGCGATCTGACGGATATGTTCCGCGAGTTCGGTGTGGACGCTCGTTACTTGCATGCCGGGACGTCGGTGAACGAGCGTAAGGAGCTTGTGAGCGCATTCAAGCGGGGGGAATACCCTGTGCTCGTCAACTGCGGTGAGCCTAGCTCATGGCTTTCACTGCAGACACACCACTGAAGGTCAACAGCCATCCTCACCGAGGGTGCGGACATACCCAACATAGATTGTGTTCTGGTGGCTCGCCCAACACGTTCTCGCAACGTTTTTGCTCAGATGGTACGTGGGCTCTTCAATGTGGAGAGTACGGCTTTGACGTGCCTTCTAGATTGGTCGTGGGATGCGTCTCTCACCGGAAACTGGCAAAAAGAACTGCCGAATCATAGATTTCGTAGACATCTTGGACCGCATGCCCGGTGTCGTCAGCACACCGACACTATTCGGTCTCGACCCCAGCGAAATCGTTGACGGTGGGTCATATACTCATGTTACCTGCGCTCCTGTCTGATCATCTGTAGATATCTCTATCGAAGATCTTGAAAAACGGGCAGAAAGTCATATTGATGGGGACGTCATATCGCCTAGTGATAAGGCATTGACTTCCGAAAGCGTACCCGACCCTCAGTCTGTTACTTTCACCGACTACGACAATCCATTTGAGCTCATAAACGGCGCCGCCGGGATTCCACCGAATATCACGAAGCTGAGCCGGAATGCGTGGGTTGGTTGCGGAGGTGATATCTACGTGCTTGAATGCATGGGAAGAGGCCATATTCGCATCGAACCTGTGAAGCGCGAAGACGGCAGGTTGATCATCTTATACGTTACATCCGGCACTGACCTTCTTTCTCCAGGAAACGGGACTACGGCCGGAAAAGAGACTATCTACAAGGCTCACTTCACTCCTGCTTTGAATCTTGCATTCAAGATCGCCACCAAATTCGCTCCGTTCCAGAAGAAGAAGTATATACTAGACGCCGAGAGTATCGCAGATGCTGTACGGGGGTGCGATACGTACGCCAAGCAAAAGGTTCTGCCAGGACCCGTTGCGAAAGGGTATGACTATTGTGCTTCACAGGCGTATGGGCTTAACGCTTTTCACAGGCTATTACGCAGTGCTCGTTGGCGCCGTGAACCGGCTACGTCCACCCAGAAAGCCTGGATCTCCAAACGCTGGGGCGTCAAGCCGCTGCCAGAAGAATCCAACGAGGAGTTCCCAGCCCGTATCAAGAATCTGACCAAGGGCGAGGCGAACAACATCATCAGCCGTCTCAAGAACGGGGCTCTAGTGAGCGCATCATGCTCCCACTTGACTATCCCACGCTCAACGTCTCCTAGACCCGTTACGCTACTAAGATCAAAGAGCAGAATAAGGTCTTAGCGATAGAGTTGAAGGAGCGGAAGCGACTGGCCCGCGAGCATGTGCGTGTAGGGCCCTTGCCTCAAGCGTCTACTGTGTAGAGAATTGGCCATTCATTTATAGTCCTCCGTGTTCGTATGTTATTTCATACTATCATAGTACTCGGTGGTAATACCAGAATGTTCATCATGCGGACAGATGGGGCGAGACCGCGAGATGGCTCTTGAGAGTCAATATTGCAGCCTTCTGCGCGTTCATGATATTTGTGTCCAATAGTCGAGGGTGAGAAAGCGCTCCAGGCGTAACGGCAAGCGAAGCGAGCAGAGAGCCGACGAGCGTATCTCCTGCTCCAGTGACGTTTACGATATCACTCGCGTCGAGAGGTAAAGCCGGAATGTGCTTCAAGACAACGATCTCGGCGTCGCCCCGTGCAACAACCAAGCGTTGCTGGGCATTGCTTCTTTCAAGCAACCATTCGGGGCGGTAGTCTTCCGGTACGCGCATAGCGAGCAATACGCCGCGATCTCCGCACTTGGTAATGAGGTGCTGGAAGAAAGGAAGGAGGTTTATGGCCATCTGCGCCACCCCATCGGTGAGGAGGAACGATAGCGTGCCCTTGCTCGAGTCGTGGTCGGACACGTTCTGGCGCGCAAGATGTTCGACGGACGTACGGTACTCCGCGGAAAGCGCGAAGCGGTCAAGAACATTCCAGCGCATCTTCTCGCTTGGTGCGCCGTCAGCGTCCATGACAAGAGCGGTATAAAGATGAGAAAGCTCGAGAAGATTGGGAGATGCGTAGGTGATAGCCGAGCGCGACGAATCTGTCCATTGCGCCATTGCGGGTTGGATGGCTATCGACTTGATGACCGACGTCGGCTCGCTGCAAACGAAGTTAGACCCTGACAATGTGTGACGCGACAGCACGCACTAGAAGGCTGAAAGTGGTCACTGTCAGTGACGAACGCGCGGGAGAGCGAGCAGCATTGCTTACTTTGAAGTCTATGCTTGCTGCAGTGTGCGACGATGGTACGGAGAGTTTTGCTGGAGAGGTTGGCATCCATCGCCACAATGGGATTCTTTGATATATCTATGTTGTTCAACATCTTGCTGAGGTCCTGGAGGGCTTAATTTAGAGACAACCGCGCGGGGCCTCGATGTGATCAGATGAATTGGAACTGAATGCTTACAGAGTCTGTCAAGTTCTTGATGATATCCATATCCGCCACACCTCCGACGAGGCCCCCGCTCTCGTCGATCACCATGTTGCAGACCGCTGTGCTCCCGGAAGCCGTTGTAATAATCCCGTCAGTACGCATGCCTATACTTCGGGTCTCTTCGACTAAAAGCCGACCAAACGAATCGTCTCCGACGCAGGATGCCAATCCAGACGTATGGACAGAAGTGTTTGGGAGTGAGCGATGCGCTGCCTCAGCAATATTTCTCGCTACGCCGCCGAGAGACATGGAGACTTTGCCGGGCGTCGTCGACTGGCTGCCGTCGGCCCGGCTATAGATGGAACTAGCCTGAGCCGTAATATCCACGGCAGCAGAGCCGAATACCACTATGCTCGGTGAAGGAAGTGTCCCGACGGTGTCGGCCTGCGCGAAGTCAGGCATCTCGACGGTTTGAATGGGTTCACGGGATGCCGTCGTAGGCACGGATTGCTGATAAAACATAGGTTGGATAGAGATACACTTTGAGAACTCAATCTCGTACTGAGGATACGCTCGCAAACTCCTGAACAAGCTTTGCGTACTCGACCGCCATTCGACCAGCGAGTTCGGAAGTGTTCTCAATCAGGGCAACGTCTATAAAACGGTAAGACTAAACCGAACCACCGCTAACAGGACGAGCCAGCCCACTCACTGTTTTCCAACGATTTGCCGCCAGAGAGCTGGCGCACTTCATTCAGCAGCCACGGCGTGACCTCTTTCCCGCGTTTACTCATACCGTTCTCTTCTGACTTGGCTACAGCCTGTAAGACGAGCTTTTGTAGTTCTTCTCCAGATGTCTCGTATTGTTCTGGTATGGGAACTGCGAATAAAGCGCCATTTCCCATGCCCAAGGTCCATTGATTGACTACGGTATTGTCAGCGACGACCTCTGTGGAGAGCGTGATAGCATACATAGAAGTCTGGCCGCTTGCGCAGGGTCACTCATGGACCAGGGGCTCTATACGTAGGTTCGGGATCAAGCGAGAAATGCTGAGAAGTCGCGATCTGACCTTGAAGCCACTTTTCCGGGAGTAGAAAGCAGGGAACTCGTCCGTCCCCCATGAAATGACGGGTACGCCAAGAGTCTCGAGGTACTCTAAAGTCCTGCGCAGACATGTGAGCACTCGTTTCAATGGATCGACCAATCCCACACAAACCTGCCAATGTCTAATATCGACTTGACGCCTGCGGAGACCAGACCCACTGGGCATCGTGCGAGCTCCGGTAAATCGGCCGAGATGTCAAGAGCTGTCTCATGACACGTTACATTCTTCTCTGTTTCAGACAAGCTTGTGCTTACAATCTTCGCCACCTCGATGTACGCCTCCCAGACCGCCAGTTGCGAAGAACTGCATCAACGTCAGACTGAGGTAGCGTACTACCGACATCTCGCTTTACCTTAATTCCAGCAAGCGCAGAGATGACCGTGGTGGCGCTGCATGTTGTGCTCCCGTTCTTTCCCAGAGCCATAGCAGGAGCGATATCACGACGGGAGACCTTCACAGCACCAAAGTCGGGATCGCCGAAACGATCTAGTTCTTTGTCCGACAGACCAACGTGGATGCGGCCGTCCATGATACCGATAGTAGCCGGTATAGCACCTCCCTTGCGGACTAGGTTCTCACAAGAGCGTGCCGTCTCCAGATTCGTCGGGTACGGCATGCCATGAGTGATGATTGTTGTCTCTAGAGCCACAACGGGCTTTCCCGTAGCTAAAGCATCCTCGACTTCCGGGTTGACGCGAATGTGTGCGCCGTGAGACATGGCATCAGTCAACGTCTTCGGGAGTCCATTCGCCGCCGTTCTCGAGGTCGTAGAGAAGCGCCGTGCAGCTGCAATACGCAACATTGCGGTTCGAGGAAGAAAAGTCCCCTCTTGGCGTTGCGTGTCGGGCTCGATATCCGGTGTGATCGGCCCGGGCACGTGGCTCACGTGCGCGGTGGTTGGAAGTCGCGGCGACGTTTGATCGTCGGATTCGGGTATCGCTGAGTCTGCCACACCCTACCACGTCAGTCGACACTACGAACCGCGCTCGACCATCGCAAGATAAGATGGCGGCAACGACGGCGACTCAGCAGTTTGGCATTCAGGGATGGATGTCTACGATCCGCACGGCTATGGTGGAGGACCCGAACAGGAAGATGTTCGAGGAACAGGTTCAGACGCATGGCTTTCAGTTCTTCAAGGAATATCTTGACAATGTGCTCGAAAATTCGAGACAACAGGAGTAGGTGCCACTACATTGCATGCGCAACAGTCAGCTCATTGTATGCTCAGTAACGCGATTGTTGACCTCTTGAAGACACCCGGACGAAGGAAAGGGGCACCGAAGAAGACGCGGGCTGCTCAGGCAGCAGCCGCGCGTGCCCAGGACGCTATCAAGTTCTCCTTTGAGGTATATTATATCGTTCGCAAGTGAGCTCGTGGGTCTGACTGGGATACAGGATGGAACCACAGGCGGGAAGGAGAATGGGCCGGTGAACAAGTTCCACGAGGCGCTGCTGCAAGCGAAGCGCACGGACGAGTCGGACGATGTGAACGCACGGGCGCCGTTGTCGCCTAAACGGCACGGATCGAATCCTCCCGAGTCGCCGAAGAAGGCCAAGGGGAAGAGCAAGACGAAGGCCGTCAAGCTTGCCGGCGGCGGCGAGAAGCAGCAGGCGGGGTTCATCGACCTCAGCTCGTCTCCCGCCCCTCCTCCCGCGGACAACCAGCGGGAGCAATCCGCACCGCCCTCCAAGCCGGCGAAAGAACTGTCGATGATCGCCGAGGACGACGAGATGGTGTCCCAGGCTCCTCGCCGCGGGCCGGTTGCCCACCCGCTCTCGCCCGTCGCCTATGACATATCCCCGACACGCAACTTTGCGCTCGCACCTCCGATTGAAGAGGAGGACGGAGCGATGGACGTGGAGGACGACGAGGCACCCGCGCCGCCGTCTCCTTCGCCCCGGGCCACTCCTGTAGACCGCCACTCGTCGCATCCCGCTTCTCCGGAGGCCCAACAGATGACACCAGCGCCCGCTGAAGCCGTGGAACACACCGCTTCCACCTCGCAGGACGTGACCGCCCATCCCATTCCTCCTCACATGCGGACTTCTGCCAAGTCTACGCTTGCCGCGCCACCTGTAGCGCCCAGCGGACTCTACGCCTCGACGTCGAACACAAATGTCCCTGCTACTGCAGGCCCTGCAGTCGGCACAAAGCGTACATCGAGTTGGACGGCGGCCGCCATGAAAGCTCGAGGCAGCAACACCGCTGGCGCGGGCATGGGTACCCTCGGCGTCGCACCGCCTGGTCATCTCAAACGAAAGAGCGGCGACATGGGCCCCCCACTCGAGCCCGAACGCGTGAAACACTCCAAGACAAGCCACGGCGATGCTATGGAGGTTGACGCGCCCACCGTCGCATTGACGGCGGCCGCCACGGAGGAGGCTGAGGATGAAGAACCTCTGACGCGCATGCTGAAGCGCATGCAGGGCTCGCGGCAGACCACCAAGTCTATCGGCAACGCAGCCGTTGTTGCTGAGCTCGCCCAAGCTAAAGCCGCGGCAGAACGACGTGTGGCGGACAAGTATGGGCTGGAGGCGCCCTCTCGCGAACATTCCTCCAGCCCACCACCCATTGTTCAGGCGAGCGAGGAGAAGCGTACATCCCGCGAGGCAGAGAAGCGCTTCAGTGTCTCAGAGCTCTTCACCTCCAAGGAGGGAAAGCCAACGCCTGCGCTCGCTCCTCCTCGCTCCGTCGACTTGTCGGCATCTACCACTCCGCCTGATTCACCCGTCACGACGTTCAAGGCTGCAAAACCACCCGCACCAATCTTCACTAAGCCGGCACCTGTCTTCGTTCCTCCTCCTGCGCCCACCGTTGTCGAGCCTCCTAGCGAACGCAGCGGCCTATTGGGCGATTTCTCCTTTAAGCTCCCGGCTCCCAGCGCATTCACTCGCCCGCAACTTGGGTTGGGCATGGCACCGATTTCTAAGCTTAGTCCTCGTAGTCCCCGTGCTGACTCTGGGGCATCGACTCAGGAGAGCGAACCTACAGACCCGATATTCGACTCACAGCCGCTCTCGCGTCAAGTTTCGAGCTCGACACAGGGCACGTCGCAATCACACTCTCAGTCTCAACTGCAAGACCTCAAGTACTCGGGCGACTACGCCGATTACAACGCGCCGTTGGCTCATGACGAGGACGATACGTGGGGTATTGACGAGAAGATGGCCGGGGCGACGCAGACCTGGACACCTTACACTACGGGGGGCAACACCGATACTTGGAGCTCTGGCCCTTCGGATACGCAGACGCAGCCCCCCGGCACGTTCACTCATCCGTTCGCGAACGCCAATGTCGATGGTGGAACTTGGAGTGACTGGCCGACGGATAGCACCGACAGCACGCGCCTTCGTCCATCGGAGGCTGCTCCGATCGATGACGCGGAAGAGTTTACGGATGCGCGCGAGGAACATACTGGGGCGTACGTTGACGACGCAGTGGATGATGAGGCATACCCCGAGCCGTCTGGTGGCATTCGTTTGGTACAGGTGTGGCGGTTCAATAAGGCTTCTATGATCCTTAACTGATATATCCTTCAGACGAAGAGTGCCGACTCTATGAGGCCTGAGAGTCAGTTGTCCATGGCTTCCTCGAGCGACGAATCGCAGCAAGGCCTCATGGGCCAGGCAAGCAAATTCGTCTCGAGCATCTTTGGCGGCGGGCCAGGCAGCACGAAGAAGAAAGATGGTCCGATCAAGAGCGTGCAAATGGCCGCGCAAGCCAAGGCAGCGGCCGCGAAGAAGGCCCAGGAAGAGGAGGAACGCCGGATCGCTCGTCAGAAGGAGGCCGAGGCGCGGAGACAGGCCGCCATTCAGCGCAAGGCCGACGAAGAACGCCAGCGGCTCGAGGAGCAGGAGCGTAAGACTCGTGAGGCCAGGGAGGAACTCGAGCGCCGTCGAAAGGAGCGTGAGGAGGCAGCTACGAAGCGCGAAGAGGCCGCCGCGAAGCGCGCCAAGGCTGCGGCTGAGAAGAAGGTAGGCGCTTTATATCGGTCGTTAAGTATCCGACGCTGACCTCGTCTGTCAGGCTTCGGACGATGAATCAAACAAGAAGAAGGTCGTCGAGAAGCCGAAGTCTGCAATGAAGAAACCTGCGCCGGTCTCCAAGATCGTCAAGCCCACGCCCGCTCCTGCCACTAAACCCAAACCGCTGTCAAAACAGGCGTCCGCGTCTTCCCTCAACGATAAGTCTATGAAGTTTGGGCCACCGAAAGGCAAAGGCAAGGCTCCCGCTGGCGCTGATAGCGATATGGAGACCAAGCCCAAGGCCGGCCCTTCTTCCTTCAAGACGCCAGCGCCTCCCGCTCCCCCGCCCAAACCCGAGACGCCGGAAGAGTGGGTCGATCTTCCTGAGCCGAACAGCGAGTATTCGAACTCGGATGACGAGGATAGGGGCAAAGATTACGACGTAGCAGACTGGGCTCAGTCCCCCGTACTGTTCAATGCGCTACGTGAACAGGAGACCATGGATCCCGATGATATCTTTGGTCCTATCCGGCCGCTGCGGATGGAGGAGATGTTCACGGGTCGCGCACGTCAGAGTCGCTTCCGTGCGCGTTCGAGTTCGGCGAACTGGGCGCATGGGGACGGGCTTACGGAGGCGGAGGCGAGGGAGTACGCAAGGAGGATGGGTTTCCGCTGAGCGGTAGTTTCTGGTATCGTCTATGGAGTCGATTCTACACATGGTCTGAGCATCTATTCACGCATATATCGCATCCATCTTATACACATCTATGTTTCTATGCACCCTACGTCTAGGCTGCGTCTTTCAATGATCACGCATTCTTCAAACGCACAATGTGCTTGTATCATTACCCAATCGCACCACATGCCGACTAGAACCCGAGCTTTTTGGAACACTCGGAATGAGGTTCGAACAAGACTGTGTATCAGGCGTGGAAGTAGATACGTTTTATGAAGAAGAGCAGCTGCGCCACATGATCTACCCAATGGAACAATGCAATTTGCCCTCTTCACAGGCATTGCGAGTAGTCTGGAGGACCATTAGCTATGATAAAGAGTACGGAGACTACATCGCCACTCACAAGCATTGCCAACCTGGCATGTAGAACCTGCAGCGCAGGTGGTGCAACCAGAGAATCCGATACCACCGCACTGGCCGTACTTGGCCGTGGAGCTGAAAAAACCCAATCGTTGAGATTGACAATGACTCATCACGGGGTGAGCAACATACCAGCCAGCTGGAGGCGGCGAGCCACCTGTAGGTGTGGTAACCGGCGCGGATGCCGAGCTAGTGCCAGACCCGCCAGAGCCAGATCCGGGTCCGGTGACGTTGATGGTGCAAGAACCAGTTCCAAGGGCAGTAGCGCAGAGCTCGGGGTTGCCGGCAGCGTAGTACTGAAGGCGGGCAGCGACTTCAAAGGCTGCGGGCTTGGGGTTGCCGCTGGAATCGAACAAAGTTCCTGCGGAGGAGGTACCGAGCCAACTCTCGTCGTCGCGGGGGTCCCAGTTGATAAACTCGTTGCAGTTCGAGGCAAAGAGACAGGCCTAAAGTGTTGATTGAGAAAGGTTGGGTGATAATAGTTAAGGATGATACTCACGTCGAGGTAGTCGCCCCAGATCGCGGCCTGATAGCGCTCGTTTGCGGATGTCGCAGAAGAAAGCTTAACGTCCAACTCCGTTATCATGGCCTCAGCGCCAAGAGTCGCGAGAGTAGCGAAGGTGTTGGAAAGCGCGCTCTTGCTGACGAACTGGCCAGGAGACGCCGTTATGTGCGACTGGTAGCCGATGGCGAGGCGGTCCCATGGGATACCCGTCTCGGCCTGTACATCCTTAAGCACCGCGAGAACGCATGCAGTCTTGGCGTCGTTGCCACCGGTACTAGAATCAAGCGGTTAGCCTCGTCTCGTTAGCACGCATTCGCCTAATAAACGTACTTGTAGTCGTTGATGGCAAGACGCGTTGACGATCCTGCGTACTTGAAGGCATTGGAGAAAGCAGCGTAGACAAAGGAGAGGTCGGTGACAAGGTTCTGAGACGACCCGTCGCTGGTTTTCGTGGGCCAGGAGTTCTTGTTTTGGACACACTGGAGTGCAGACATGCCGTTCGAGACACCGTCCCCAACGATTTCGTTAACAACGTCCCAGGAAGTCACGTCGGCACCGAGTCCGGTAACCTCCTGCATGACATGCTGGGGAATAACGTTGTCCACAAGGTCGCTAGCGCTGACACTGCCTGGGAGCCAGGACTGGCAGAATCTACATAAGCGCGCGAATCATGGAAATTCGATGACTTATCGTACCGGCGTCTGAGAGTGCCAGAACAGGTTGTGACCACGGAAGGTGTCACTGTGCGAGGTTGCGAAAGTCTGAACTCCGATACAGCCGGAGAGAGAACTAGTGCCGCGCGTCGGCTCCGTAGCGTCCCATTTGCAGCCGTTCTCGGCGACTATGTGGTTGAAGAAAGTGCTGAAGACGTTGGAGGTCCAGGAAGCATCTGGGTCGTACGTGTCGTATGTCGAGCCGAAGTGGAACGCCTGTCCTTTGCGGGTGGCAACGTCCGCGAGCACGGACTTGATGTTGAGCGTGCCCGAAGACGGGTAGCCGTGGTCAATGAGCAGGGAGACCGTAGGCGTTTGCGCAAGCGCAGGAGATGCCAGGACGGCCAGGAGCACAAATGACGTGAGCGATGCGAGTGATTTGGACATGGCTGGCAGTCAGACCGACGACTTGCAAACGAGCACAGATTTGAGGAGTACTACTACTCGATGCCGTGCATTTTATGGGACACACTTGGTACTCAAAGAAGGGGAGGCTTCGGACCCGGGCTTTCACCGGAAAGTATGCAGAACATAAATGAGCATCATCCGTCCGCAAAGTCCGTGGTGATGCCGAGGTTTTCTGTAGAACAGGAGCTCACGCGGCATTGAGCCATCATTGTAGCGGGTGGTTCGAGCTTCTAGCAGTATACTCTAGGATGCATTTTCCTATGTGCCGCGGATCCTGAGCGGCGGGCCGAACCGCTACAAGGTGGTGCAGAGGCTGCCGAGATCAGCCGCGGTTCAGTTGCGGTCACCAGAGAACCCTCGTGAACTGGTAAAGTGATAGTAGGAGGCACAGACGGTGCGCACCAAGGCCGAAGGATAGGCTTTACCGAAACGGCAGACCAATGACAGCAAGGCTTAGCCTGAATGAATGAGAACCTTGTGGAAGACTCCCGCCGTGCGGTCTCGAGACCATGGTAGTCGTGAGCAAAGCAACAACGGCCATCACCGGGAAGCGTGTGGAAAATCCGGGGCGCGTGACGTCACGCGTTAAGTCGTTGACGTCGGGCCCGTGGCTGCTCGGAACGTTCCAGCAGGCTCTGTGAAGCCCTCCCCGAGTCTCGAAAGTCCTCGAGTAGGCTTGGGCTGAAGTCTATAAAGGCGACCGAGTCCGCATTGGGGTGTTCGCAACTGTATACCCACTAGCTTCTATCCATCATGTCTTCCTCACTTAACATCGACCAATACACCGACAAGGCTCAGCAGACTTTGCAAGCCGCCATTCAGCTTGCGCGCGACTATGCCAACTCGCAGGTCGTCCCGGCACACATCGCCTTCGCACTCCTGAACGAGGGTGCGTCTGCTGATGGCCAACCTGCGAACGCCGCGCAGGCACCATTATTCGCCTCTGTTATCAACAAAGCCGGCGGTGAACCAGTGAGTGACCTTCAAACTGTCTATCGCGTTCGTCTACTAATCAATCCCCAGAACATCGTCAAGCGCGCTCTGCAGAAGATCATCGTCCGCCAACCCACGCAGGATCCTCCACCAGAAGACGTTTCATTATCGCGCGATGCCTTCTCTGTCCTGCGCGAGGCCCAGTCTCTGCAAAAGACGATGCACGACTCTTATGTGGCACAAGACCATATTCTTCTCGCCTTGATCAAATCATCATCCATTGCTCCCGTCCTGAAGGAGGCCGGTCTCACAGAAGCAACTCTTAAGACGGCCATCGAGGGCGTTAGGGGCAACCGCCGCGTCGACAGCCGAAACGCCGAACAAGGCTTCGACGCGCTCAACAAGTACGCCGTTGATTTGACCGCATTGGCTGAAGAGGTATGCTCTATCAACTTGATGCACCCCGGCCTATTCTGACAAATGACTGTAGGGCAAGATCGATCCTGTCATCGGACGCGATAACGAGATCCGTCGAGCTATTCGCATCCTCTGCCGCAGGTAAGTCGTGGTTGGCTTGCTATGTCTATGATTCATTACTGACATTTAGCTAGGACCAAGAACAATCCCGTACTCATCGGCGAGCCTGGTGTCGGTAAGACCGCCGTCGTCGAGGGTCTAGCGCAGCGGATCGTGAACCGTGACGTTCCCGCCTCGCTCATCGCACGCCTCTACTCGCTCGACATGGGAGCACTCATGGCCGGTGCGAAGTACAAAGGAGAGTACGAGGAGCGTATTAAGTCTGTCCTTAACGAGGTTGAGAAGGCGACTGAGAACGACGGCCCCGGCATCATCCTCTTCATCGACGAGCTCCACCTCATCATGGCCGGACGTGGATCGGAGGGCGGCGGCATGGACGCCGCCAACCTCTTCAAGCCCCTCCTCGCACGTGGAAAGCTCCGCTGCATCGGCGCGACCACACTGGCGGAGTACCGCAAGTACATCGAGACTGATTCCGCTCTCGAGCGCCGTTTCGCCCAGGTCATCGTCAACGAGCCCTCCGTTCCCGAGACGATCAGCATCCTTCGTGGAATCCGTGAGAAGTACGAAGTTCATCACGGTGTGCGCATTCTTGATGGCGCTCTCATCTCGGCCGCGCAACTCGCACATCGCTACCTCACCTCGCGTCGTCTTCCCGACTCAGCCATTGACTTGGTTGACGAGGCGTGCGCAAGGTACGCACACTCTTCTACTAGCATTGTCTTTAAGCCCGTTACTGACTTCATCCACAGTGTCCGCGTTACTCGTGAAACTGCACCTGAAGCAATCGATCAGCTCCAGCGTCGCAAACTGGAGTTGGAAGTCGAGATTCATGCCCTCGAGCGTGAGAAGGACGACGCTTCCAAGGAACGCCTGGTCACCGCCCGTAAGGCCATCTCTGAACTCGATGAGCAGCTCGGTCCCATGGTGGCTGCTTTCGAGGCTGAGAAGTCTCGGGGCGATGAGATCACAAACGTTCGCCGCCGCCTCGACGAATTGAAGGCTAAGGCCGACGACGCCGAGCGACGGTACGACATCGCAACTGTCACCGACTTGCGCTACTACGCCATTCCTGAGCTGCAGACACGTCTTGATCAGCTTACCGCCAAGAAGGCTGAAGAGGACGCTGCCAACGGAGGCGGCGGGGATATCGTGACTCCCGACCAAATCGCCGAGATTGTCTCACGCTGGACTTCCATCCCTGTCACCCGACTTCTTTCAACCGAGAGGGAGAAGCTGTTGCGCATGGAGAAGATTCTGGCGGAGAACGTCGTCGGTCAACCCGAGGCCGTGAAGGAAGTTGCGAACGCTGTTCGCCTCTCCCGTAGCGGTCTCCGCAACGCCAACCGCCCCATCGCCAGCTTCTTGTTCGCGGGTCCTTCTGGCACAGGGAAGACGCTCATGGCCAAAACGGTAAGTACAACCCTTGCGCAAACACTCAAGAACTTTTAGCTAACTCTTTTCTCAGCTCGCGCAACTTCTCTTCGACTCGCCTGAGGCCATGATCCGCGTCGACGCCTCCGAGTACTCCGAGCGCCACAGCATCAGCAGGCTCATCGGCGCTCCTCCCGGCTATGTTGGGTACGATTCCGGAGGTCAGCTTACCGAGTACATCCGTCGCAAGGTTCGTAACTTTCATGCTTGTATCTGATACAATCTTGTTCTAACTTTCCCTCTACAGCCTTACTCGATTGTTCTCGTTGACGAGGTTGAGAAGGCTTGCCGCGAGTTTGTGACCTTGTTCCTGCAAGTCCTCGACGATGGCCGCCTTACGGATGGCCAAGGCCGTGTGGTCGACTTCCGCAATACCGTGATCATCATGACGAGTAACCTCGGTGCCGCATTCCTCAACGACATGCCAGATGGTCCCGTCAACAAAGCGACCCGTGAGTTGGTTATGGGTGCCATCACCGGACACTTCCCGCCCGAGTTCGTCAACCGAGTCGACTCCATCGTCGTGTACCGCCCCCTCTCGCGCCGCAACATCATGAAGATCATCGATCTCCGTCTCAAAGAGGTTCAGGAGCGGCTCGAAGACCGGAAGATTACACTCGAGCTCAACGACGAGGCAAAGAATTACCTCGTCTCTATGGGCTACTCTCCGCAATACGGCGCTCGCCCGCTCAACCGCGCCATTCAGTCAGAGTTGCTCAATCCCTTGTCGGTCATGCTCCTCGCAGACCGCGTGCGCGACGGTGAGACGGTTCGCATCGGCTTCGATGGTCCTCGCAACCGCCTTGTCATCTATCCAAACCACGAAGGCCAGCAGGTTGAGGATATGGACATCGATGGTTATGATGACCTTGACGACGACTTGCAGATCGAGGAGATGGACTAGGTGACGGACGACTCGTAATGGTGTGTATTTCATAGGTTAGGGACACATTTCTAGTTTGGATCTCGCATTGCACGCATTGTAACATAGTCCGCAAAATCGCATATGTTGTATCTCAAGACAATTCAAATGGTCAATAAGGCAATTCATCCGCCGAAGAAAGTGTGAAGCTTTGTTCTCATCGAGCTGTTCGACGAAGTGTAGATAATAAGTACGATTATGGCGCAGTATATACTGAGGGATGGAAAAGGGGCTAGGGCGTCGTTGCACCAGAGTTACGCTCGGAAATAGCCTAGCCCATCGCTGGGCTGTAGCACTCGTACACAGCGGCCGCGAGAGGGCGCCCGGCGCAACATTAGAATGCATGATGGGAGAGACAAGACTGGGAATATGAAAAGACTGAAGAAAGACCTTGAACATTCGTAGCGGTAACGGTACATCTTTTTGACCTGCCGAGTGGCCAAGAAATCAGTAAGAATGTTATGGTCGTCTGAAGCACAAGAGCATGCGTTCGGGCGCTACTGCCCAACAGAAAACGCCTAAAATGAAGGCAGGTGGCCCAGAATAGGCATCTTCGAACCGTTTGGACGGCGTCGACGCGCAAGGCTGTGGTGAGGACTTGCGCGTCATATGCATCTCCTGTCGGTAAAAGTTCTACGACCCTCTGAGCATCTGAATATCTAACGCATTATCAGCATTTTGCAGCCACGTCCCGCAAACCACGGTACTGAATCATACGAAAGACTTCAACAGCGAGAAACGGGAGCACCGATATAACGGCAGTATCGAACGATGTGTACAAGAGCGGTCAGCGCTTGAGCACTGAATGCCTTTGGAGACGGGTCACTTGCCTGGGTAACAAATGCCCAGACAACGCAGTGAGTTATCCCTTTCCTACAAGCCTTGTTTGTGGATAAAATATGCCCATTACTCAACGAACGGCAGCATAGCGTCATGGTCGGGATCAACTTGCGAATGACGAGAAAAGGTCCAAAGAATCAAGCGCGGAATATTCCACGCGAGCCGAACCCGCGCGCCAATTCTTCGACTGTCCCGACGCACACTCGCCGCCACCCTCCACCCCTTCAAGACACCAGGTAAGCCAAATTTCTGACTCTGTGTGCTATGGAGTTGGCTATGGAGAGCTGGCGTATCGAAATTTCAGAGAAGGATGGGTGGGAAGGGCTGGATTGACGGACCTGGCGGCGGATGACACTGGATCGCGCGGACTGACTTTCTTTACTTGCAGCGACCATGGGTGCGTACAAATACATCGGCGAACTCTACAAGAAGAAGCAGTCGGATGTCCTCCGCTTCCTGCTCCGCGTTCGGTGCGTAGTGTTATCTGGTGTATCGGTGCGGTGATTTGACTGATCTGTGAATAGTTGCTGGGAGTACCGCCAGTTGAACGTTATCCACCGCGCAACCCGCCCCTCGCGCCCCGACAAGGCTCGCCGCCTCGGATACAAGGCAAAGCAGGGCTACGTCATCTACCGTATCCGTGTCCGCCGCGGCAACCGCAAGAAACAGGTTCCCAAGGGTGCGTATGCATTCCCCAGCGCGTTTTGGTCGCTTTCTTAATTGGGAGCCTCTAGGTGCGACCTACGGCAAGCCTGTTCGCCAGGGTGTCAACCACCTCAAGTTCCAGCGTAGCTTGAGGAGTACGGCGGAGGAGCGTGTCGGCCGTCGTTGCGGTAACCTCCGTGTGCTCAACTCGTACTGGATCAACCAGGACGGTGTGTACAAGTACTACGAGGTCATCGCAGTCGACCCCAACCACAAGGCGGTGCGTATCTCCGTAAAACTGTTGCTGTGCCCAATCTTACCTGCCGGTAGATCCGCCGGGACCCGAAAATCAACTGGATTGCAGACCCCGTACACAAGCGCCGCGAGGCTCGTGGTCTCACCGCGATCGGCAAGAAGGTGCATTCGCATGGTATCGTCATCGTCATTATCATAACTGACTGTTATGTCAGAACCGCGGCATTGGCAAGGGTCACCTGCACAACAAGAGCCGCCAGTACTCGACCTGGAAGAAGCACAACACCTTGTCGCTTCGTCGTTACCGGTGATTGTGTTGTCGTCTCGCTATGCTACGCTTTTTGTACCTTTCCATGTCCATCCCATGCCATATGGATCGTATGTCCATACCACAAAATTGCATTGCACCCACGTCGCTCGCATTTTTCTGCTGCATCCATTGGACGCGATCACGCGTGTTCTACTGTAGTTAGTGAGACAGACGCGTCGAGAATCACTATAAGCGCGCGCTGCGAATCCAGAGCGTGTTAGTAGCATGTAATGCAGGCTGTACTAAGTGCGATACACATACCGCGTTTTTACCTCGAGGCGGACGGCAACGCGGCGGAGGATGACGTGAACAACGTGAACACGAGGTGTTCCGAAGGTATCACAGGCGGTGAGAGAGTAGTGGGGCACGCTGTGGCCTCACCTCTTAGCTTGCCACCACCACGACTGGATCTTCCCCCTCACGACCGCTATGCTTCACGAATTACCATTGCCATTACTTGTACTACTACATTCTGCGCTCCAGACTTTTGCGCTCTCCTTGCCTGATGAATCCAACTTGAACGTCATATCGAAACCGCAGCAGTTGAAGCCGCGACTCCAACTTGCGCCTGAGTCCGTACAATCTCAGATACGCGCCTCCAATACAAGCTCGAACGGAACCATCACCGGGCGTAATGGGACACAGTTTGTCTGGGTGCTACAAGACAACTTCGATCATACAAACTTCTTTGAGTGCGTGCTCGTAGCTTCCAATCATTCTTCCTGACACTTATCGTTGAGCCAGTGAATTCGCATTCTTCACGGGAGAGGATCCTACCCAGTGCGTGCCACACGTTCTTGACTGTGCAATTATCATTGACATATCCTCATCAGTGGGACGGTCACGTAGGTCGATTCGAATGAGCCTTGAGCTCGTACTCATAGCATCATAGATATGTGGACAACACGACGGCATTCAACAGTAGTCTTGCCTATGTCTCAGACCGAAACACCGTGATCATGAAGGGTGATAATACGACCTGGTTAGCTGAGGGCGCATATCGAGAGAGGTGCGTTCTGAAAAGCACGTCCGTCCGTTCGTGTCCGATTCCTTGTTGACTTGTCGCTTAGTGTGCGCGTCTCGAGCAAAACGACCTATAACACTGGTCTCTTTATCCTGGATGCCAACCGAGCTCCCTGGGGATGCTGTACGTACACCTAGAGCACAATGCAAAACGTCTCTAACTTGTCACCAGCCGTATGGCCGGCATTTTGGACACTGGGCAACACCGGAACATGGCCTGCTGTGAGTCCTCCCTGTGCTACTCACATCGACGCTGACGTGTATGTAGTCTGGCGAAATAGACGTAATTGAAGGCGTTCACGACAATGAGCACAATCAAGTAACCTGGCACACCATGGCCAACTGCAGTCTTACGCCCAGCGCGGATCTGTTCAGTGGGACTTTAGCGGTGTGTGAACGTTTTCGGGTGGCTTCTACTGTTGGCGTGATACAATTTCCAGACCGCAAACTATACCAACTGCGAGGCCGGGGGTGTCGACAACTTGCCTGGCTGCGGTATCATCGAGTGGAGCCAAGCGTCCTATGGCCCGACGTTCGATGCAGGAGGCGGAGGCGTTTTCGCGATGAAGTGGGATGTGGACGGTATTGCTGTCTGTAAGTGAAGACCAGCACTTTCTTATTAAGTACGAATGTTGATGCCGATAAGGGAACTTCTACCGAGTCGCTGTGCCGCAAGACATCATAAACGGGGAGCCTGACCCATCAAACTGGGGAACACCCGTGGCTCAGCTCGCGCCTGATAATTGCGATATCGAAAAGTACTTCTACAACCACAACATCATCTTCGGCGAGTATCTGCCCCCAGTGACAGTATACCCTAAGCTCATATGTATACCCCAGATATCACGTTCTGCGGAGACTGGGCCGGAAATGACTACGCGACTTCTGGTTGTCCCGGAACGTGTGCGCAACGTTTGATGGACCCAACAAACTACAATGTAAGTTGCACTACCACTCGTGAAGTACGTACCTGACCGCGATTTGCAGAACGCTACCTGGGATATCAACTGGGTCAAAGTCTACCGTAGGCAAAATATCCCTACTGTCGTCAATGCGTCCGGTGCTCGAAAGCTGCGCAGTCTGTTTTCCGCTTTAGGCCTTTCGAGTGTCTTTACGATTATCTCCCTCTTGTATTAGACCATGCACTCGAGCCTCTATCTGTACGGTACTGCTATCGAC